CTACCATCGTTTCATGACAACACTCGTTTCATGACAAGAAACTTCAAATGGTATATGCTTAATCATGAGCATCCTTCTTCAAAGGACTTCATTTATGCTTAAATTCAAATATACTTGTAAAATACCCTTGCAGCAAGGATGAATCATGAGTTGCTCTAGTGAAGCTGTATGAGTCCAACATATTACGTGAATTGATAACAATAAAATAAACAATGAAGTTGCATTATCTAATGGGACATCCTTGTAGGAAGTACTTAGGAAAAGTATATGACCCGATGAGATATCATAAGTGGACGAGAGAGTACATCTTAAGCCAAATGAATCAATGGTTCATAGTGAATAACTTAATTAAGCCATTATCGCTATTTTGAGACCAATCACATCTCTCTGCAATGGATCTGGCGTGTTGCTTCCTTTCAAGAGCCTAGAGATGACATTGTTTGACACGAATTATCGCTGTATGTTTGTCATTTCCACTATTTCTAATGTAACACAAAATGGCAAACGTTGGTATAACTTAGACTGAACAATGACCAGCCTACTTAGCTCTACCATACCTAGCCATAATTATAGTTCTCGATCAGGAGAGATTCTCCCAAGAAAAAAATACTGACACTCTTTGGTTTATAACGTTTTAAAGCTTCTGTTCTCATTCAGTGGTAATTTCCTGGGGGGCGACGAATTGCACTGGAAATAGGATGTGGAATTGTATACTAGTAGTTGACTTAATGGTGCATTATATTAAAACAATGTGGTTTGTTATGATAGCTATGTCATGTTATTATCAATATCTGTACGTGTAGTTATTTGAAACAACAGTGGGTTGTATATTCCGGTAGATACTGCAATTGGAATTATGTGATTAAGTAATGCATAACATGAGATATTAGTAATACCAGAGGCAAACAAACGTCTGTGTCATCCTGTTCCGACACACGGAGTACGTAGGTTGTGTGTCAAAAAATCGCTTTCAAAGGTGCTATATATTTCAGATCAGAGCTAGGTTACATTTAATTCTACCATTGGAAAGTTTACTCTATTTGTAATAAAAGCATATGACATTTAAATATATAGTGTTAAGTACCACAAGGACTTATGGCATATGGTTTCCAGCAGGATGCCTATTTGTGTTCAGATGCCAGAAAAAGCACGTCATTTCTCATGGGATTGCCTGTAAATTTCACATATATACCCGTTGGAACTGCGAAGTAATATGTCATTCTGCGCTCTGTTTACATAATATTTAAATAAGGAAGTTAATGTTGATCGTTTTGTCATTGTAATTGCAATTTTATTAGAAATACAGCGTGCCAACCAATAATTTGGGAACAACTTTCTCAATAATTAAAACAAACACATAAATATGATTTTTATGTGTGTGTAGTGTTCGATGGATAAAAAATTGTTGGTATGCTTGCACAGCATCAACAGCTTGGGAATTAAGAGATATTTCTTTTTTCGCAGAGGCATGCTCTGTTACAAAATCACTCGAAAATGTAAAATAGAAATTCTGTTTTTCTTAATTTTAACCCAATATGCAAATCGCAGTTCATCAAATTTGATAAAAGTATTTATGGAAAGTGGGTAGATATGACATAGTATTGATAACAAATGTGTAAGCTAGTGAAAGTAATCCAGAATTGACAGAAATCCCAATTTTAGAAAATTGTAATTTTGAACATTTTTTGACGATTTCACAGAGAGCATGCCTATACGGAAACGTATATCTCTATTAAATTTCAAAGTTGTTGATGCTATCCAAGTAGAACATGTTATCCATTGAACACTCTTTCTACACAATGAAAAAAGTTGCTCGAAAATTAGTGGGTGGCATTTTTGTGTCACCCTGTATTCAAGGAACAAGCAAAGGAAATTTGTCACTTATGTGACGAAGCATAATATAAATTATCGAATGATAGCGTTTTTACTAATGACTTAAAATAATCCACATAGCGATCTTTTCAGGGTGTCAATGTCGATAAAAATAAAGATCTGATTTTCAACAGGGTGACGTGTAAGTTTTCAACTTCTTGGCATCTTTTCTTTGTGTACAAAGTCTACTTTGATATTCAATGGACGCTCTTCTAATTAAGGTACATATGCACTAGCGATACTTTTTGTTGGCAATGTCCGAACGATTCATCCATTTTCCTGTAGAGATAATTGATCAATCTATTGTTATTCTGAGTAGAGACAGACCTCCCCTGATCTTCGAATGCAAGTTGTACATTGAATACATGATCTAACATGTGCCTGTCTCAGAATTTAAAGGATCACGTCCAATATAATAATAGCGGGGGATGTATCACACTTTCTAGACGATGCAACGTCGTCCGTGGTCCAGCACCATGACAAACCATTACATCTAAATTCTTCTCAGCCATGAGGTGACATGTTATTATGGGTAAGATTTCGTAACCCAAGAGAGTCCAGATTTGAGGTATTTGAGATCTTTCATCATTTTTCATCTCAGCTTATATTTCATCTAACCATCAAACGTGTACAGAGATCACCTGTGTCTGTGTTGTTGATATGTGATGGCAATGGTAATGGAATACTTATTTATTGTAAAATGGAGTCCGATAATTACATGATGACTATAACACATAATGACAAGTGAACAGTTCTCGTCAGATGAGCTGATATCAAAGAATATATACATATCATAATAATTTAAAGAGCGTGTTTCCAGAAAAACAGAAATATGTGAGTACAGGATATTGGTCAAGGGGTATTTCCATTCTGATACTCAGAACATCTTTCTGTTTCAGGGCTGAGAAGAAATGAGATGTCATGGTTTATCATGATGGGGTAGCCTATTTCACTTATTTCACAATGAGCGTCTGTAACAGTGCATCCAATGGACTTGTAGGATGTGTTTTCTAAGTGGTTCACCACTAAGGGTTGAAGGGGGTTCCGACTTATAAATGGAATATAAGATGTATATAGGAGTACTATTGAATACAATATATGGGTGGTAAAATGGATATTGAGAAGAAACATGAAATGTGAAGGCAGGTAGTATTATCTCTCTGTTAGAACATAGCCCATTACTGTATCTGTAAATGAACCAAATGGAAAATATTACCACTCTCCCTGTAGAACATAGCCCATTACATGTAAATAAACCAAATTATGCATCGTGAATCTGGCAATTATTCTGATCAGTGTTGTAATCCTGACACGAACCACCGATAGCAGTTATGATACAGGTTGATGCTAAAGACCGCTTTATTGTCCTTTTGGGGACAATGAAATGAAAGCCAGTTGCATGTCAGTGCAAAGTGAGATCAATTCTGATTTGGAGTCACTTTCTAACTTCTGATTCAATATTAGTCTAGACCCAAAAATCATTTCTTGTTTGAAGAGGGTATACTATGTCAATCTCTTGCAAAGGGCGCCAGATTAACAAAAAATGTAGTAACTAACTTACCTATTTGTGGATAGATCCGCTGATGAAAGCTTCTCTGTATCAAAGAGTGAATATCCTGAAATGGCGGTAATTGATGTTTCCTATGGTCGGCCAATGCCCGTTTTAATGCCAAGAAGCTGTGTAAGGAATCCTTAATTGAGTATCCAAGTGTAAGTTTGCAGTTAAACTGGAGTAAAATCTCCCTATCGAACTATGAAAGCAATTGTGTTATATCCGTATATCTGGCTTACTAACCTAACAAGCGACAAGAACAGCGCTGGAAACTCTTTTTATGCCTTCGTCGTCCCGTTTCAATTACATAGAACAATCTTCTAATACTGTACTCCGGTGCTGGAGTAATGCAACCCTTATCCGTGGCGCTATCAGACTAATGCCTTGATTGGTTTGTGCTTTCTGTGTATATAGGCAGAATTGCTGCCAAACTTCTACAGATCCAGAACACTAGCAATTTTATTTCCTAACTTAATTTTGCGGAGTAGAATTACGTTCAAGACGTTCTTATTTATCAATATTCTGAACTATCTGTAGTTCACAAATGCATTCTGTAGGCCTGTTTATAAAACTAATTCCTGAGTTGGCATTTGCCGTATATCATGGTGTATATGTTGATCTTGTTATGGATGTCAGTATAAACCGCCATACGTGTATTTACTAATGATCTACCCAAGACCATATCAAAACAGACAGTTACTCGAGATAGAAAGCAGCTTTGGATAAAAAGGACATGCGAAGGAATACATGCTAAGGAAATTGCAATTGAAATGCAATCGATCGTACGTAAGTGCACATCCGGAAAAGTTGAAGAAGAGACATCTATCCAAATATCGCGCATTCAAATTCAAGAACAAATGCAAAATGATTTTACTGTTGAGAATCTACCTTTACAATGAAATATTTCCATCGATCGTGTTGAGTTTATAAATGTGAAACAATAGTCAAGATCACGTTTTATTGTTTTGTTACAGTTATTGTTATGTACCTTGAAATGTGATCTAAATGCTAAAAATACATGGTGGGAAATAAAAAATTGGACACTTTCTATCATTCTTAAAAATATTTAGGACCGCGAAAAAAGATGAGGAATTTACTTAGCTTTAGAGGATATAATATTATGTGACTTATTTTCAGTAGTTGTAGACATTTTGACAGTTTTTGATTGTGATGTCACAATTCACAAAAACAGATTTTACTTTCTAAAAAAGAAGACATTTATGAAAAAGGATGCCCAATTTGTCTTTAGATGTCATAACTGCTCTTAATAGCTCTCAACCTCAGAAAAGTCATAACTGTACATTGAGTATGCCTTCCTGAAACTTTTGATTTGGATTTGGGATTTTACATGTATGTACAAAAATGTTCAAACATTATAATCCTTAATTTTTCGACATTTGGCTTACATTTGCTCTTTTAAATAGAATATACATAGGAGAGTCCCATTTTTTGCCCACCCTGTATACCGTATCTGAATACAACTGTGGTACAAGTCATATTGAATTCACAACCTGGCAATACAGACCACCTCCTGTTACAGACCACACCTGGCAATAAAGACCATCTTCTGCTAATACAGACCACCTCCTGTTACAGAATACACCCTGGTAATTCAGACCATCTTCTGGCAATACAGACCACTTAACTGGTAATACAAACCACCTAGTTGGCGATACAGACCACCCTCTGGCAATGCAGACCACCTCCTGGCAATACAGAACACCTCTTGGCTATACAGACCACCTCCTGGCAATACAGACCATCTCTTGGCAATACAGACCACCTCTTGGCAATACAGACCACCTCCTGGCAATACAGAACACCTCTTGGCTATACAGACCACCTCCTGGCAATACAGACCACCTCTTGGCAATACAGACCACCTCTTGGCAATACAGACAACCTTCTGACAATAAAGACCACCTCCCGGCAAAATACAGACCACCTTTTGGCAATACAGACCACCTCCTGGCAATACAGAACACCTCTTGGCAATACAGACCACCTCCTGGCAATACATACCACCTTCTGACAATAAAGACCACCTCCCGGCAAAATACAGACCACCTCCTGGCAATACAGAACACCTCTTGGCAATACAGACAACCTCCTGGCAATACAGACCACCTCTTGGCAATACAGACCGCCTCCTGGCAATATGTAGACCACCTCCTGGCAATACAGACCACCTCTTGGCAATACAGACCACCCCTTGGCAAATTTCGATTGGTCTATGGCTTTAGCCACGCCACTGATACTTACTTTATTTAGTTATCTTTATATTTTATGAATGATCATTTTTATAGTCATTTTACGAGAGGGAGTGGAACAAGAATAACTATGATAGCCAATGGAAGAAATACGTAATTTTTCCCTGAAAGTGCGATTTTGTACTTTTTTTACAAAGAAGGTATTTAACGTCCCCATATAAAGTTTAAACCACTTTGACTTATATTGTAGTCTTACCCAATGTTATCAAAGTGTGATTTGTGAAACTTTTTTTTTTTATTTCAAAAAGTGGTTTTTGATAGACTTTTTGTTCCAAAATTTGTGAATTTATTTAAAACTAACTTTTAGAGGTCACACATATCTTTTAATTAGCCACAATTCATACCAATGCATAGCATTCATCCTCGCATGTTTTTCAAAATTTTAGTTCTCATAGAAACCAATGGTACAATGATATCTAAAACATAATATATTCTTCCTTTTAACCTGGTTAGACAATCAACATTGGTTTATTATTGAAGTCTAGCATATTCAGAAAAGATTGACATCGAAAAAAAAATTTCAATTTTTTCAAAAAGTTTTTGCTACCTTAGTGACATCACTAATGTTTAAAAATATTTTTGATATGCTAAAACATTGAAGTGGCCCATTAAATATGGCATTTTATTATTGAAATAGCGTGTCCTTTGTTCAATCTTTGCATTGATGTTAAAAAGATAATCTTTTTTGAAATGCATTAAGAAATATTTGATGATTAAAAAATTTCAATTTTTTTTAAAAATGGCGGGAAATTTGAATATTTGAGGAATGAAATGCTCACAACTTTTTTTTCAAAAAAAATCTTTTCTTCAAAAGTCTCTAAAATAACTTTTTAAGTGATGAGAAATAGTAAATGAATGATAAAAAAATATTTTCAAACTGTAGACGGGGACTTAAAGCGAGATTGCAATTTTACAGAGAAGGTTCTTTTGTCAATTTTCTTTGTTATTTTGTCCATCGACAAAAACACTGGTGATCCACTCGATTACGCTGGTTCGTTTCGGTAACAAAATGTCGTAACATCGAAGGTACGATTTTTCTTTTTTCCTTATTTCACACGTTGTAGGCAGAATTCCCACGACATTTTTATCACAATCGTGTATCAGTATCATATGTTTAAGAAAATGTACATATTTGCGAACAAAAAGTTCAGAAGACAACAGAATCGTCGATTTAATTCCTCACCTTTAGTTACATAAACGGTATTTCGAAAAACAGTTAAGATCTGCACTTTTAACCCGTACCGTTTATGTAACTAAAAGCTTAATTGTACATACAGTAACCTAACAGTTTTGCTGTTGTCAATAAAGAATTTCTACAAAATTATCTGTATTTACATACACTATCAGGTCATATCAAGAATATCGCGTCATTTTACCACGTGCTTTTTTATTGTTTATGTCAAGGTTTATGTGAATAATTATATGACGTCACAACTAGATTATCCAATCACGTCAATGATATACTTGTTCATTTCCCCGGGAACTTTCGGGGAAATAAGTAGAAAATAGGTTAACTAACATGACACCTTAGCAGTAATGAAGATAAGAAACTATTGACCAAAAAGGTAAAATGAGCTCCTTTCAAATGGCAGATCGCTAAATAAAACGGGGCGTCGTAATTAAGCAATTTTCAATATTTAAGGCTGCTATGTAATCAACAGAATTATAATTGGCCATTTGATAAACGACCTATTTTGATTTTCTGGGGGAAGCTTATTTTTTAAACCCCAAGTATTGATCTTTTTTCTACTATGTAAGATTAATCTAGATCTTCCTATAACCGTTTCGAGTAAATTCTGATTTTAACAAATTTCTTTTTTACAGCCAGTTAAAGACGTTGAATTTGGCCATTTTCACCATGTTTTCACAAAAACTATGACGTCACGCTACTGCTCTCCATACAAAGTGATTTCAAAACACGTTTTTTTCTGGGGGAAGCTTATTTTTTAACGTTGGGAATTCAATTTTTTCACTATGTTACTCATAATAGTGTCATGTATAATATGCCATTTCGAGTAAATTCTAATTCGTAAATTATCACATACTTTATTCACTTTTTAAGAATTCCTATAGTAATTTCCCATTGACAATAATCTGTGACGTCATATGTCAGAATTTATGTTAATGATCAAATGACGTGATATTCTTGATATGTTAAATTCTAAGTGCATTTTCCTTGTAACATGAACCATATTCATATGGTTATTCTCATTGCGCAGCTGAAGAGGTGCTCAATAAGAGTACAGGTCATTCCCAACATTTTATATTAAACTGCTTATCAGCCGCAATTAAATATACTAATCATACAAAGGAACGTCTCCTTTGGACCACGTGTTAAAACCTGATGACGTTTGGCGATTGGTTAAACTGATCAAAGAGATCTTTAATTAAAAATCAAACATTGAAAGTCTTTATGATGGGCAATCCGTTTGAGGAAATGTAGTAAATGTCTCCTGCATGATAAATTGTAAAAATTGTTCATAAAAAACGCTTAAATCATATCTCAACTAAAATACAATAATAAAGTGAAATACAACAACAATAATCAAAGTGAAATACAATAAATAACATTAACCAATGTGAAAAAAACTAATCAAAGTGTAACGTCTGTTCTTACGAAGATAACATCAAGTCCATCCGCTTCAGCTTCTTCTCTATCAGCCTTTGTAGATATGGGCACGATCGCATGTTCCCTGTATTTGCCAGTCCCTTCGAAAAATTCTCGTAGTTTATTGAGCTTAGCCAAACTTCCCTTTTTGTTGATGTTTACATTATCAGAGAGTCTGTACTCAACGGATATGACCTTGATGATTATTTTATCCATTGGGATTGTTAGTAAGATTTCAAGTTCAGGCCCCTCAACATCCAAACTGAAATAGTCTATTTCTGTTCGGCCCATTGCCAACAAAATCGAGTGAAATGGAAAACATTGGACAGTCACCTCCTTCTGGGCATGTTGTCTGATAAACTTCATATGCGTCTCATCCATTTTTTCCGATAACCCTCCGAATAAACCAACAGGTTTAAATTTCAGTCTACTAGTGTCTGTAGAGACACTAAGGCATGCATTGATGGAGTGTACCCGTCTGCCTTTGCTTAGTAAAAGCTGGTAATAATCTGGGTTAGCCTCTACTAACAGACCAGACCATCGACGTTCTTTTTCCAGGAATATTGTGTTAGAGAAGGCCTCCCCTTCCGCTGCCCCACATTCCACAAAAAATCCACCCTTTTTCTTTTTGAATAATTTGTCCACAACTGCAGCCTGACCAAATTGAGAATAGTCCACCTTCTTTTCATGAAAATTATACCCAATCCTCGAAGGACCCACTATCCAACGTTGGCGTATATATCGTATAAATCTAGGATCTTCAATTTGTTTGTATCCATTTAAATATCCATGTACCTCATCGGCGTAAAACTCCTCGATGTGTGCTAACTGAATATGTTTCTGTGGTTTACTGGTGTTTTTGGATGTAGCATTCATCAGTATGAAAAATAGCACAGTAACTATTGTCATTGGTAAAGCCACCCTTTTAATGAATAACCTCATTTTATCGTTCATTTGTCTAAATGTAAATATGTATCTCAAAGTGTCTCCTGTTTGATACAAAGACACTTTATACTGAAACAAACGTGTCCGCGCGAATTTGTTTAAATATAATTATTTTTAAAGCAATATGCTCGAGGCATTGATGAAAAATATCATTATTAACTGTTAGTGCTATTAGACTATTTCATCATTGTAAACTATAGCCAATAAAAGTATTAATTTGAAATCATAGTTAAACTGCCCGAAGAAATAATTATTTAATGCACGTGTACATAGATATTTTTGTGATGTGGTGATGTAGTAAATAAATAGAGCTTTGTGTCTAAATACATCTATTGATTTTCTTTAAATCATAACAGATTCAACAATCAACAATTCGCACCAACATGACAACATGTAACCATCTAGTTGCTCATGATATTATAAGTTCAAATCTAAGTCAGATTCGAACTTCTGGCAACTTGGCTGATATTGAAAAAGATTAGTCAATTTAAAGCAAGTTGAAAGAATACCTAATAGGTCTAATCTCAAATCTTAAGTCAGATTTGAACTTCTGAGAACTTGTCTAGGTAGATGATTTTGAATAAAGGTTAAGTCAGTCTAAACAGACGCCGACCGCCAAACACCAACTGCCGTCAAACAATTTGAAACCATTCACTTTTGGTGTGACATAACAAATACAGGGTGTTAAAAAAAGCAACCAAAAGAAATCGCTATATCTTGGAAAATACTAATCCAATTATGTTCATATTTTCAGGAAAGAAAGACGAGACTGTGTATGTATAGCCACTGTTGTTAGTTAGTTGTAAAACATGATGTCTTGGACACTTGCTCAAAAGACAGTTGTACTAGCAAAATAAGAAAAAACGTGAATGGAAAATCACTTTATCTTGGAAAATACCAATTCAATTATGTCCATTTTTTCAGGAAAAGAAAGAAGAGAATATGTATGTATAGCTCCTGTTGTCAGTAAGTTGTAAAACATGATGCCTTGAACACCTGCTCAAATGACAGTTGTACTAGGAAAATATGAAAACGCAGTCAGGGGTGACTCTCACAGCAATAAAACCAAATAACTTTCTAACCATAGTGTTTTGGCACTTCAGATTTGGCACAAAGTAACCTCATTCAATGTGTGGTGAATTTGAGGAGTTTAATCAAAATCACTCCAGGGACTTTACAGTCATGGTCAATATGCCTTGAACTGAACCAGGGCGTTTGATTGCGATTTGAAAGCATTTTGACTATGACTGTAAAGTCCCTGAAGTGATTTTGATTTCCCTATACAGATTGACCATACAGTAAATGAAGATGATTTGTGCCTTTGAAGAGCCAAAACACTATGGTTAGAAAGTTATTTAGTTTATTTCAGTCACCCCTGACTGCGTTTTTCGTATTTTCCTAGTACAACTGTCTTTTGAGCAGGTGTCCAAGGCATGATGTTTTACAACTAACCATTTACAGTAGCTATACATACACAGTCTCTTCTTTATTTCCTGAAAATATTAACATAATTGAACCAGTATTCTTCAAGATATAGCTATTTCTTTGGGTTGCGTTTTTTAACACCCTGTAGTAATAAAAACTTAAATCTTTTCCTAAAATACCAATGCTTAGGAAACATTGCTCAACTAGAAAGCGCAGGGTGAGTTTAATATTTAGGGTCAATGCATTTCTTAATTTCTAAAAGGCAATTGCTACACGTCCATTTTTTCAAGCTCTAGTATGTACAGAATGAACGCTGCACAATAATAACAACAAAGATGCTATAACTTGCACCTTACAGTTTATTCTGATTTCCTAAAAATTGGCGCTGAGCCCTTTTAAATGTGACTATAAATACCAATTCTTTTGCCGAGTTTCAGTTAAATAACTAGCAGCCTTATAAAATATAAGGTGGATCGGATGGATGTCGACCCTCCGATACGTTTATGGACTTCGAGACGGATTTTGTCTGTCCCACATCATTTGAGATTGAAAAGCCCACGTATAAGTATCTACAACTATTCTTGAGGTTATGAGTATTAGTTTATCAATTTACATTCTTCACCATATATTGCAATGACTTTTGTCAAATGAAATGTGCCATGGTGATGGTAACTTAAACCTCACAATTGAAACCATCTATATTTCTTGGTATCATTTGCTGGAATTACACCATGCGTTTTAGAAGGGCGCCTGAGGTTTTAACCCTGTTAAAAACAGGTGTATTGCGGTTTTACACGAACGCTTTTCCAAAACCCCTAGATCCCAAGTCACTAGATCTGAAAACGCCTTAAATCATCAGGCGCTTTAGGAGTGTAGTGTAATACCGATCGGTTTTTGTAAAACGCCTGACCCCATTCTGATACTCATAGCATCTTTCTGTTTCACCTGAAACATGCTCTGATATTATGAGGCATATTCTGTGATCTGAGCACATCAGATGGGAAGAGTTATAACTGTCAATAAGTATGATAGTTATCATGTAATCATTTACCTAATGTCAATACATTACATAATAGGCATTGTATTTAACAGCAGATATTAGCACAGGCACGTGTACACAAGTTTAATGACCCCAATTAAATGAAATATGAGCTGGGATGAAAGATCTCAACAATCCTCAATTTTGGGCTCTCCTGGATCGCCAAATCAAGCTCATTATATCATGGCATCTCAGGGCTGAGAAAAAATGAGATGTCATGGATTATCATGATGGCCTGACCCGGGTTTCTACCATTTGCCCTAAACGAAATAAGACGTATTTCGAATGCTACACATTTGGGTCACCGCAAAAATACAAGAAATGATGGATTGGATCCAAAAAGTGCAATAGGTCATCAAATCATATCGCAAAATTTAAAGTAAGTTCAAATCACTGTTCTAGCTTCGATTACGTTTTCTCTTAGATGCTAAAAGAATAATTATTGTTGATGTACACATCTGCTGGATTTTCTCCTACATGTATCTACATCGTTAAAAGTGCACGAAAGGCGTTTTAGAAATGACAGGTGTAAATCCAAAATAAAATTCCCGAGGCGCTTTAGAAATCAGGATGGCGATTTTGTAAAGCGCTTTCCATTGAAGCGCTTTTTGCGTTTTTTCTTGTATAATTCCACCAATGACTTTTGTCAAATGAAATAGCCCTTGTTGATATAGTAACCTCATATCGGAATTACATGAATTGTGCATATGGGAATTCATACAGGGGAGTGTTGTGGAGAGAGAAGCATTTTATTTACAATGACAATGTATTTTATACTACAAGCATTTTATTAGAACATATCTTGTTTAAATAAACTATTCATTACGTAGTTATGTACAAACATTTGAAATGAATAATAGTAGAAAATTGTATATATACAGCAAGGTATGTGGTTAAGATGTGTCCTGTCAACCACAAAATATTGTCTCATTCTATCGACACCATGTAGTTTTCCAAGTGTATGTATGAATCATTCATCTTTATTTGTTTATCCTAAAGAACAACAAACGTATCATTAATATACTACAAAACATTAAGATATAAAATGTTTATTTCATAGTTTCCAACTATAGTCGTGATGATGGTCTATCCTGTATAAACCATGTTCTGGTGTTAAATGAGGCATATGCACGTGATCAAGGTGCATGTGACCTGGTTGTTGTCGATGTTCATGACTTCCATTTTCACTGTGATGTCCATGGTGTGTATCATGGTGTACTTTAGCGTAGTGATGACCTGTATCCTCTATATCTTCGTCGTACATCTGGGTACGAGGTAAAAGTCCCCTAGACTTTGTATTGTTAATATTAGCTGAATCTCTAGATTTTTGGCTACTTCTTGAGGCTCTTTCGTCTTCATCGTTGACGTTTCTACTGGTTCTACTGGCGTGACTTATATGGCTTATTCCACTACTCTCCTCATCATGTTCAGAAGGCTGTCTCTGTAAGACTGGCATACTTCTAGACTCCGTTACTCTTTGATTGTGTCTTTTGTCTTTATCTGGGGCAAACACTCTGTCAATGTGGCCATCTTCGAGTGGCTTGGCGTATTGTGAGTTGTACAATTGAGACACAGTTGGTGCCATGTGTTGATGAGGTGCTGCACCCGCTAGTTTGTCGTTTCGCTGTTTCTTGGACTTTGCACGTCGAACAGTTTCCTGGCGCCTGTACAAGAGCATCGGAATGTTGGGCTCTATACCAGCTTTTTTCAGATTCCTGAAATGGATGATTTTGTCAATAAACTTGGATAGGGCTGTTTAATCGATGCAAATAGCTAAAAAACTCGAATGGAATACTACTTAATTCATTTAGGGATGAATAAGTATAATTGATGAAGACACTGTATTAACTGTATTAACCCATAGGACCAAAGACGACAAAGAACCCGTATGCTATTTGAATGTTATTACAGAATGTTTCAAACCTGTACTTCCTGTAAGTCACAATGGCAATGACCATAACTATCACTGCAAGTGTAATGGCAAACATTATCCCCGTCCAGGTCCAAATCTCCATTGGTATAGGAAGTGTCGCCGTGTCTGTATCTGTACTATCTGTTACATTTAGTTTTGGTTTTGAGAAGCTTTCATCGAGTTTATCATCTCTTGTTGATTCGGGTTTGGGTTGTTTTGTAGTTGGTATACTACTTGATGTTTGCACAGTGGGCAATGCTTCGGTTGGCTTAGTTCTGGATTCTGGGTAGAACGGTAATTTAGGGTATGTTGGGTAGGTCCCTTCAATATGATCAGGGTCCTCTGTTGGTGGGTACCATTCCCATTCAGGGGGATCTGTGAAGTCCCATATATCTGTCGGAACAATTTGACCTCCTTGTCTTTCTGTTGGCCTATTGGCTCCTCTACCACCTGGTTCAAACCCAGCCTCATCTGTGATAGGAGGGGGAATGGGAAGGGGCGCTGTAGCTTTCTCAAGGTAATCCGTGTTATCGAAGGCATCACAAGTGGCATGATATATTGTCGCAAGGTATGGATCTATGCACCCTTGAAAGCCTTCGCCATTTGCAAACATTAAACCATTCTGACAGAGGCAGAGACACGGTGTAGCATGTGGTGGGCAGCTATAGAACACCTGACATAGATAAGGGTCTGGAAACTGCCCTACTCCAGTACAACTATACTCAAATGGATGGTCGTTCGAATGGTAGCATACGCCATTTCCCTTTGGTCCAATACAAATATCTGCAGTATCGTTTTTGTTTACCTCTGAAAGAATAAATGTATACATCAATCACACAAATCAGGCATCAAAACATTCGTTTCTTTTTTTATGAAGTTCTGTTCACATGAAGTACCCAAGAATACTTATTCAATAACCCGTTGCAATTAATAAACACACCTACATTCTACATTAATCTAAATAAATTATTTACCTTGTTGGCCAAATGTCAGCTTTAAATTGATGACCGCCAATAACCATATCAGGGCATAGCTGATGTCAGCCATGTTTGAGTCTGTGCAGTTATGTTGTAATTATTTCAACTGGCTTTACATGTCTGGTTTCTTGCTAAATTGTGTTTTAATCCAAATGGTTCCTAACGTCACAATGCATTCTTAAGTTCACCTTTTGTATACCATCCAAACAGTAATGGCTTGGCTGAATATGTGAATATGAGACGAATGGGCCCTTATACAAGTTTAAGATTTACATGTTTCTAAATTGTATCTACAATACTTGCTAATTGAACAATAAGAGTTATATTAATTGTGTTGATGTTAAGAGGGTATGGTAAAAACAAAGGTGAGCGTTATGTGTGTTTCTAACTGACATTTATGGGCTTTAGATTGCTAAGGGGAAAATACAAGAGACGTTGGGTCAAGCTTTTTACAGGGATTGTCTGTAATGTATATGGAGTAAACTTCAACAAACTAAAGAGAAATGAAAAGAATGGTGTTTTACATTTCACACTTCACATTTCACCCCGAGGGTAAACTGTTTTAAAATCAAAAGTATAAAAATATATATTACTCTCTTTTAAATATGACAATAATAACTGTATATTCTTTCGTGTGTTAATGGATCTAGCATCCTCTGAGATATAACTAAATACAATCAAATGAATGCCAAAATACGTTGTTGACGCAATTCCTGAAACAAGAATCGAGGAGAATCCTCTTAATTCTCAAGGAAGGAGGGAATCCGGCGGGCCAACTGAGAATTCTAAATTTTAGAAAAAGTATTGAGAGTTCAAAAGTGCCATACATGACCTTGCTGTCTGACAAATATGTACGTGTATCTACAAACAGTCTGATGACTTCATACCAAAGATAGATCCCCCTGAGATGAAATTTTTTTATATATACGTTACATAGCCATGCCACCGAAAAGCTAGGGGAAGGGAACAAGGAAGGCCTAGCGTCCATAAGAAAAGGAAATGCGCTGCTGAGCTGCAATTTTATCACAATAACATAACTCGAAGTGATTACGTCCTCATGGACTTCTTTCGTTTTAGTAAGATAAGAAGAGGGTATTTTAGTTTAGAACTGTGATCCTTAGTGTTCACACACACACCTAGCCTTTGCCATAGATGTAAACTCAGTGTTGATCTGGTAACTCAATCTAGGGATAAAAAGATCCAAATAACTTGTCCAATCGAAATACTCTTTAGTTAAAAATAGATTTATTTTTGTATAATTACTATTCTTACATTTTGATTACATTATCCTATTATACATTTTAGGTTTCACAATCATTGTGAATAGTCTTACAAAATGAGGAAACGTTTACAACTATACTTTTAGTCACACATGGTGAGTTAAAGGAATGTCATGATGCTAGATTCATACATTAAGATCTGTTTTATTAAAGAGAAATACCAGTATCACATATTATCTTCTTCTTACATCATATATATATATATATACGTGAACCTATTTTACAGTTTTCTTTTAAAGTAAGCCACCATGAATATGAGTAAAAGCAGCCCCAAGCTTTGATGCATCTCATATGTGTGCAGTTATGATCGCAATTCTATGTATCACACATCATTTTGTTATCGCGATCGTTATCCTACTCTGTTGAACGGTGGATGGAATTTTATACATATTTTTACAGTTTAAATTATTTGGTATCGTTCAATACTATGTTAATTTTGTGTCCAGTGTGCAGTGCAATTTAAGATACATCTTCAACTATGCACTTTTATTTAGAATTCCCAATATATACATCACACACATAAAGTGTATTGTATTCTTTTTATATATAAAAGTATTGAGGTATAGCTGAATCGCATTTGCCGTACACTCAAACCTCTTCATAATAATTTCAATCTCAGTGTTCTGCTCAAAGTTCTTAAATATATATCACATTTTAATCCTTTTAAATGTTCACTCTGAAATTCTCATTGAGCTGGAATGATACATAAAGGCAGAATCATATCTACAGGGGAACCAGAATTCCAAGCAACGTGTACAATTGGCCAATCAATCAATTCCTTACAATATTAAATATAATATCCCAAACGATCCATGGTGTGTTATAAGTTGGTGAAGTTTTTAAGGATCCAAAGTGTAAAAATGACGGGGAATGTTTGGATTCTCCCAGTAAAAATGATTACCATAATTATAGAAAAATAATACAAATCTTTCCGAATTCCTAGAAAATAGACATAACAAGAAATGATATGAGCCAAAAATATTTAAAATCAGAAACATTTCTTTATTTAGCTCACTAGATATGATTCTCCCTTTAACATTTCTACAATGATGATCATCATCATGATTTATATACCCGAAAGTCTTCAAGAATACGCTGAATCTAAACTATGAATATATGGTAAAATACCACTTTGATTTGAGTGAGTAGTTTTCTTGGATAAATTACCAACATGATATCCATAAAAGATATTTTTGTCATCCCTTTAGACAAATAACATTAAATTCATCAATATATTCAAGAATTTCTAAAAGTTCTCAAAGTGATGTTCGAATGACGATTTGCTGGTAACCTTGCTCATATTTATACAAGCTCGTTCCACGCCCTTTGTTAGTCCCGGTGGGCCGCAACTGAACACCCCAAACTTCTTCACCTGAAACGACGAGTCATAGATGTAAAAAAGAACCATATATAAGGTCAGCAAAAGGGTTTATACGAATTTGGAATGCTAACCAATCAGATTCAATCAAAGTATGTTGATACGAGTGTGAAGAGGAGGAATACCGTATTACAAAACACAGTTCGAAAAGAAGCCACACAAAAGTACAACCAGTTATATGGAAGAAAATCCAAACATCCCATCTTTCCCACTCATGTTATTTTGTCATATTCTCACATCCATTGGGATGTTTAGTACCTTATTATGTTGCTCCTGAAGTCCCTGGAACATGTTCTCAAACAATGGTCTTCCAAAGTGTGTCTTAGCCTTCAGTCCAGTGAACAGGCTCTTATTTGCAACCTTTTGGAAATGCTCTTCACAAATATACTACAAAATCAAAGTTTTATGTGAATATTCATAAAATTGTCAAAGTCACCCTAACATAATAGTAAATTGTTGTTAATTGTGTCCTTAGGGTCACATGTCATATCAGTCATTTATAAATGAAGTTTTATGTGTTCTACAAGAAGACGATATCATTATCATTGACGATATCATTAACATTGACTGTAGTTGTTTTTGATTAAAAGCTATACCGAAACTTATTCAAATGTAAAAATAAAGAAAAACAAAAACTTTTAACTCTAAATAAATCTTGACATTCGCTTCGATACATTTCAGATAATTTTAATTCATTTCTATGTATAATCCGAAGCTTTATATTCTCAAGTGACAATAAATGCATACCAGCATTGTAGTTCTCAGGTCATAATGCTGAAAGAACTGGGTGATGAATATGTGTATCTCCACTGTGTTCCTCTCGTCCACTTCCTCTACTTGCTTGAGGATGTCTATCAGCCATTCATAGTGTCTCTGGCTGGCCGTCACCCAGATGAAGTACAGCTTTAGTAAATACGAGAACAACTATAGAATGTTAATACTTGAAGTAATTAATTCGGGGCTTGGTAACAGAAGTTGTAATATCATTTTTTGGGAACAAGGTCAATGCCAGCATTTGAACATCCGACTTCATAAAATATATCCGAAGACAACGAGTAACAAAAACGACCGTGTGGGTGTTCAAAATAACAAGAGGATCCAAACATTTAAATAATATATAACGAATTTCATTTACATAGCATACCTTCTGGCATTTTATTTTGAACATGCTTTTCACCGAAGACATAAAGGCAAAGTCTTTTAGGATTGATGCATACGGGGTGACACCTATACCACCACCAACCAATACACTAACGTCATAACGGTACCAATCCTGCTGTCCAGCACCGAATGGACCATCAAGATACAACTGAAATAGTTCATAAATGCTTAAAGGATAAATTTACAAAACATTTTATGGCGGCCAACATATTTAAAAACATCCTCAGACAGTCCCTGCGCTGTGATCGTATATGCAAAGCAATGTATGCCTCAGATCAGAAATATATGCCTTTACCTTGGGGAAAGCTCTTTGTTTTAGATTCTCTGGGTCGTAGGTCTTCCTCAGATTCCAAGTCCATGGACCCAACGATCTTACATGGATAGACAACGTATCTTCATGGGGTGCAGATGTCAACGTAAAGGGATGGTACTCATTTCGTCCTTGGCTACTACACGCGATATTCACCCACTGGCCCGATTTGTACTCAAAATTGTGTGGACGTTTGAACTCAATGTAGGTTACCGCTAGGTAAAGAAAATATGAATTACAATCAAATCATTGAAATTACAGATGTTGCAGGCTATGGTCGTCGCTTCATTCTCACGGAAGATAAATTTATAAAATAAAGTTAAGAATATTATTAGCGTTATGAATGAGGAAACACAGTTTATAGCTAATTACTAAATGATGTATTCATATTGTTTTGAAAATGCATGGTATCTTAGTGAATTCATACGTAGACTATTACCTGATGGCAAAAGTTCTGCTTTGATAACGGTGAGTTCAACCTTTTCTCTGGAGATACTGACCAGTTTATCAATCACAAACACTATTGCTGGTCCGATAAAGTACATCCAGAAATATGGATCTTGTACGATCCTTGCGCTTCCGTGTAGAATTATAAGCACGTATATAACTGCAAAAATAAGTATTTTTATATTCCGGTTTATACATTTGGTAGGCACATTATTGGTGATGACTACATCGGGACGACAAACACAATTGAACAATTACGCTATATTGCAAAATACCCGATACCTAGGACTAATCTGTGTGTCAGCCAGAAAGCGTTGAAGATGTATTCCCGGGCTATGTTGTGGGCAAATATATAGACGACTGAACACAAGAGAGTCAACAATATCCCGGTCATTCCCGTAACGTTTTGGAAGAACCAGAACACAAGCTTGGGCAGAGAGTCGGGCCTATAAATGTAATAAACAATTAAATGCAAAATCGATTGTTAAAATACGAGGTAGGGCCGAGTAATATAAATACGCGTTGTCTATTTCTCATGTAGAATTTAATTATAGTATACTTTTACATCACCTAAAGACAATCTCTGGAAAGACGCAGAGGAATTGCATTGGCTGGGTTCCGATGTGGTAGAAGTTGAAGGCATAACCAAATATATGAACCACTGAAATGAACAGAATATTAAAAAATTAAATTGATGTATATTGCGGTTATACAACATGTATGTATGGCATTGGTGTAAAATTGGTAAATACATATGTTGCACACAGTTGTCCACTTTTGATTCATGCCAAGTAAAGGCCACTTAGTTAATAAATGACGGAGAGGGGCACTTTCATCTAACATTAATGATAATATTCGAATTATTATCAATACATCATATCAAAACTTACAAGTAAAGAAAAGTGCAGTCCAGGCGATGACCTTATGGAAAGCCACATTAGAGTCAAAGGGCACATATAGGTTCAGGAAGGTCTCCCGAAGCTTGGTGAGTAGATTCTTGCACATGGTGAGGAGTATGAAGCTGAATGTAAAAGACATGGATGCTGCCGCCCCGCGTGTTGTAGCGACTCCCAAACCAGCGATAGTACGGAACCCTCTATGTTCCATTTCCACTGCATATGCTACAAAGGACGTACATTCTATAAGAATTGTTTTAAACATCGCCATTGCTTAATAGATCTATGCCACTCTCAATTCTTACTGTTATGGGCACCTTGAATGAACAAATGGAAGTATACAGTCCGTTTGATTGAAAATTGAGAACTTACTGTAAAAGCGTTCAGCAAACAGTCCAAAGCACAACCCATAGAAGATAACACAATAAAAGATGTGTTGCCTCTTATTTTCCATGTAATGTTTGATTGACGTGATTCTGGCTTTGATTGGCGAGAACTTCTCTTGTACTGCTGTGTATGTGTTTTGTCGACTGAATTTTCCTCCCGATGTTGGTACTCCTCCTGTTTTCCCTCCCTTTATAGTTGAATCTTTGCTTGAACCAACTTCTGCAGTATCATCTCTTAAATAATGTAAATAAAGCGATTCATCTTTTTGAACTAAACGTTAAATCCATAGGAAATATTTATTACAGGATGGCAAGAAAAACGATAAACACAATATTTGTATCACTGATAATCTGCATTGGTGCTCTGCATCTGCATTGTGTTTTGAATATCCTCGGAGAGTTCTTCAAAAGTAATGTATGTAATATCAACTTACATAAATCATTTTGCAAGTAATAGAAAAGAGATGTGAATCACAATTTATACCCTTCATTTTTAGCTCGATGATAGAACATTGGCGGAAGATGCTTTTCGCTCCATTTAGCACGGTATTTACAAAATCAAGAGTAATTTTGGCTCGCCCAATTTATGCTATTTTCAATTTGGTATCTTTATAAATGTATCGTATGAATTAAATTAAATATCATAGTCCTTACTGCACTTGGTTGTACAGATCGTCATCTGTGTTAGTTAGTTTTGCCCTCTTCTTTTTAGGGAAGCAGACTTTTGTTCCTGAAAATAGAACGAACCAAATTAATTTTCAACAAGTATCCCACCCCTCAAATTTCTCATTTTCCTAAACAAAATTTGTTTCAGAAAGAGAAGAGAGGTAGATAGTTGACTGATACAATGATATAATCACAAGGTCAGCGAACAACAAAACCGTGTTTGTTTGCTTTCAGCAATTCCAAAAAATGAAAACCTGAGGTAAACATTCATCTTATGTAACAAACACGTATTTCTTTTTTAATACATTATGAATAGCGATGCGTTTATTCTAACCTTTGAAATCTAGACATACGTCCCAAAGTTTGTCCATATGATCACCAAGGAGCTTCTGGAAGTCTGAGTATCTTAGTGATCGTCTCCTACTAACACCATGTGCCTTGAGCATGGAGTGAATGAGCTTCTCTACAGCCTCTTCGGAAAGTTCAGTGTCTGCCATCTCAAATAAAGATCTGTTGGAAAAAGTTATTATTTGCACAATTCAGTTGGATATTTCCATCTACTTGCTTCAAAAGTCCAGATGGACTTCATATTTCTTCCTTTTTCGAGGACAGAATCGTGTGAATAAATCCTAGAGCCATATATGACGAATTTAATATTTCAGTTGTAAGTTAACATTAAACACTTTTTAAAAACTTTTTAAACTTCATTTTAAAAATTGATTGTTTTGTGTTTATTTTTTAGTTCATCTGGGACTTCAACGTTTTTCTTACTTGAGCATCTTTGCGATCTCCTCCAAGCTAAGGGTTCCACTGGAATCAAGGTCATACATGTTGAACAGCATATGGAGTTTGTCGGTACATGAACCTAAAAATATGATTTTAGAAACGTTGAGATATTCTCAAGCGTGTTTACAAACCACAAAAATACTATTTCATTTCAATAACTAGTTTAATTAGATGTATGTTTAAATCACAAGCATTTCCACAAATATTTACATTACACAATGCTTTTAAGTTATGAATTTCCAATTTTTATTCAACACCCAATTCTTTTTTCCAAGTTTATTTAAACAAAACGTCTAGTATTCACCATGTGAGAAAAGTGTGACCGCGTGGAGGAGCTCTCGAAAGGAGAGGTAGCCACTTTTGTTTTTGTCCACTAATGAGAACAGTTGGTCAAGGAAGAGACAATTTGGTTTAACAGCAAGCGCCTCTGCAAACTCATTCTAAAATCAGAATATAATATACAATTCAAAGCAACCATTTATTTGAAAAGTGGAATAAGGTGATGGGTTTGTATATCTAAATACGTGTAAAATGATTCAGTGATTTAACTGTGTTATTTTATACGTAATATTTTTACTATGTTGATTCATTGCTTCATTCCGTGAGTTTTGTAATTATTTGAAGTAACATACCTTAGATATTTCACATTCTAGAATATCAGAGTATTTTGGCTTCACTTCAAATTCCAAGTTACTTGGATCTTCATCCGGGTTGTAATCAAGTTGAAATGCCTATAACATTAAAATAAAAATAATATGATCAAAACATCAACATAAAGTTTAATATTCACTCTATTAATCTTTTCAAGGCAACAACAACGTAATAAGAGCATTATGTGATTTACATAAAGACTGTATTCTACCAATGAGCTTGTGAGATCAGGTATCTTGTTTATTCAGAAAGACTCCATTACCTCTGCAAATACAGTTTTGAAGAATTTCTCTAGTAACTGCTTTCTCTTTTTCTTTGTGACTGCCATATTCTGAAGATGCAATAATTTAGTACCGAATGTAAGAAGCGTCTTTTCATGGCTGACGAGATGTTGCCGAAACTGGTCAATGAACTCCCTCCGTTTAGCTTTGGTTTGGAACTGCATCACCTAAAATGTATTGAAAGTAAGTGTCAGTAAAATATCGGCAAATGAATGGGTTGTATTCTTTCAGGTAACTGAAAAAGTAGATGGTTCAATGACAAATTGTTCAATACCAAAAACAATTGATTTACCAGATCATACTCCTTTGGATCGTTTATCAGGAGTATATCTTCGTTGTTGTTTATACTGAGCCACACTCGGACCTCCTTGTATCTAGTGAAGTCCATGGTCCTTAGACGTGTCCCAAGGGGCGTTGATGTATGGAGACAACATTTCACGGGATCAATTCTCACTTCTACATTTCTTAATGATTCATCGATTCCCTGCCATTCAATTGCTGGAAAAAAATGTCAGTAAAGCCAAATGACAACGTTTGGGGAATTCACAAGTGTTCACAAACAAACGAACGAACAAGCAAACAAACAAACAAAAAACAAAGCAAAGAATCCGAAATCCTCTAGTTCTCATATGATAAATGGATTTAGGTTTGTAGCAATTTTGATCATTAAATCTGTGGTTTTAATTTATGCTTTTAAAAACTTTTTCAGCCATTTGGATGTCAATTTACAATTACTTGTTTAGCAGTGTTCTACTTGGAATTAACAAGAGTAGACAGTGATATTCATCATCCCTATTACGAGGAGGGGGGTTATTGAAAATAACTAATAACTAGATATAAAACTAAACTATTAAAAAGCTCGTATAAGGATGCATCTTTTGTTGTGTGCGATTCACCATGGTTGAATCTATTCAAGTGAAACTAATTAAAGCAGCTACTTATCTAAATGCACGTAACTTAAAAAATCAAAGATGTTTGATGAACTTTCCTATGGGAACGAAATACATTGAGTCAGGAGCAAATGGTGCAACGGGGAACACTTATGTATACATTAAAATATTTTCACAAAATGCAGAGGAGAAATTCAAATTATGTACAGACAGCTACGCTAATGCAATAAGAGTGTAGACTAAGCTTGCATTCACGGGTGCAACTTTCGGGTAGCGGCTACCCGTTTGATTGCAATTTGATGGCAAACACATTTAGATATTAATAGTACCTGTCGTGCATCCGTGCAAAATGTCGGGTGGGATAATTTATGGAAATTAACTAGTCAATTCGGTACCTAAAAGTTGCATTCGCGAATACAAGCTAAACGTGTATGGCGGGTTAATTTATGAAAATTAAGGAACCGGTAGTTGCATTCGCGACTACGAGCTTACACTAGTGAATAAGGGATAGAGTTTACTTTACCTGTTGCATCTATCTGTATTCATATAACAAGTAAAGAATAGAGAACATGTTTGAGAAACACATAAACAAAATTGGCAAGACACGACCAATCACTTCAGGGGTATCTATTTATTGTATACTTACTATCAGACATTCCATTATCTGCTTTTGACCAAAATACACAATGAACAATGATATATAAATATATAATTTGGTCATTCGATGTATGCTGTTTAGTGTTATATATAATTAAACAAGGTCGCTATGAAATATACACCATTTCAATTACATTTACAAAAAGAAGTTGACAATTATGCGTACATTTTTTATGTTTCCGATAGAAACTAACTTTTCATTGAGGGTATAATATAGTTCGAAGAGTTACTCCACAGCGTAAATACAAAACCGAACCTCACTTAATTATTGAGTACTTTATAATACAATAAAATGGCAAATTTGGCTCCGGTAGCCAAAGTCATCAGACTGGATATACTGTAAAGGCTAGGTTTGATTTATAAAAGTTTATAAAATTCCAAATTATATGAAAAAACGTTGTACTGAGGTGATTCAAAAAGTTTTGCAGTTGATGCCATAACTTCAAGGAAAATAGGACTTTTACAATGAAACTTGGTACACATATGTTATACATTTATACATTATATGTTAAAATTTGGGACATGCATTTCCAAATGCTCCCTGAACCAGTTCATAAGTCTCTTGCAAAGTCTTGCCATTTTGAACCATGCACTGTATCGGATTTCTATGCTTCCATTTCATCAATTTAGTTGGTGTGGAAACATCTGCCATTTTGAAAATTTTGGAAAAAAATTCAAAATTTCCTCACTTTTCCATCTCAAATTTTCAACTGGGTTTTGGACAGTATACATCACAAAGGAACTTATCGTGTCACTTGTTTATTGTGATGTCATAGAGGCAATTAGAAAAATTGAAGAATTTGAAGAAAAATAGCCACCCAAAGACACTTACACCTGCTAATTGCCACTTTACAAAGAGTTTATTCAAGCAAGAAAACTATTTGGAAAAACGTAATTTCGGGTTGAACATGTTACCCACCACTCTGGTTACCATAGCAACCATATCTCAAGAACCAAATTTTACCATATAATGTATAAATATATGACGTATATGTGTACCAAGTTTCATTGTAAAAGTCCTATTTTCCTTGAAGTTGTGGCATCAGCAAAACTTTTTGAACCACCTAAGTAGTATCAAACTCTCATGTATATGTCCAACAATCGTGTTTCACTTACCAGATATACTTCCGGCGCTTTCTCGCACCATCGCTTTCAGGTCTGTCATTCCTATTACCTTCTTCGTCTTCTTCAGGTCGTGTTGCTTGCATCGGAACAATAAATATGCTACCAGGATGCATACTGTAAGCACAGTTATATATTGTAATGCTTATAGTCGCAACATGCACTAATTGAACGTAATTATTTATGTTCCAAAAGACAATATAGGTGAATTGCCTCCAATCTAACTCGATTTTGGCGACAACTGTCTCTCCTTTCCAGTACACAATTATCAAATTATATGTTTTAATGATTTAGCGATAAGTCCTATACTCACGGAACGGGAACAAGCATAATGCTGCGAAGGATATGATGTATGTCACTTCGTTTCCTTCAAAGTAATCATAGTTTTTATGCTCTGCGCATTTTGTCATATCAGATTCTTCTAACTGCTTCGGCTGCTGACATGGGTCACCTGTGATGAAAAAGATAATGATAATCTGTACTATCCCCCCCCAGGTTACAATTTTGAAAACATTGCCATTCACAAGACTATATTTCATTCATACTGAAATCATTGTAATACACGTTGAAAACCAAATAAAATGTTGAATATTTATTCCGGCAAAAACATATTCTTTAATGTACTCATATAAAAACTACGGAACAGAAAATGAACCCGTGCTCTAGAAAAACAAAATATGGACATTTTACTTAATAATGTAACTCCTACCGTTTTTCCAAAAGAACACATCATCTTGTATATCATCCTGCATCATGTTGCTTACTTTCACCATGATGTCCTTCAGTTTGATTGCTTTAATCTCAGCAACTTCGGCGTCAGTAAACAAACTAAAGCATAGTTCACAACATTTAAAGATGAATGGTACAACTAATAGTATATGAGTATGTGTCACTGATAGTCCATGCTATGACTCCGGAATATGAAGAATCCGAAACACAATATAGTGCAGCAACATCTGAACCAATATTTACGGAGGTCCATATGTCATGATTCTTTTAAAATGCCGTTTGCTGAAAAACGTCGGGCTTTTGGGTCTAAATATGCCTCTCATAACAAGGGTTCAAAAAAGTAAACATTTTCATTCGAATTTGTACATATTTTAAGACTCAAGAGGTCAATATAAGCATATTTACAATACATTGGATTATTATTATGTCAAAATCAATTCTAATTTCAATGTTATTTCTTGTGGTCAATTAGTGTAATTACATAAAGTTGCTTATTATATTTTGTTTATTTTTTCAAATATTGGTCAAGCAGATTTGACAAAATTGTGTGAATTATTTAAGAAAATCATAATTTCAAATATAAATTACTATTACTATTTCAAAGTTTTATTTAAAGAATTTATACTTATCATCGCCAGGAGTCAAACAAGAAATACTTTATATAATATGTAAAATATAGCCATTTTAATGTTACAGAGGTATAAGAACGCTTATATATTCAGAGGGCATGTCTAATAGTTTATAAAAAATAAATGCAATCAATTAAACGCCTTACATTTCTCCTTTGACGTTACTGCTGCATATCATCAGATTTTCTGATGGTAATATATTCTTAGACATAACTGCTGGTTATCATCAGATTTTTGGTGAAAATCAAAACCATTCTTTCCCAAAGCTTCGTGAGTTCGACCAGGTCTTGATTGTTGTTTTATAAACGACTGAACAATATCTAACTAGGGACAACATAGCGAAAACATCAAATTTATAGTTGAGAAACCTAAAACATACACTCAAAATTTATTTCAGAGAATTTTCTGTGGCAGTATGCACTCCAAATTGTAAAAGGGGAATTTTGTTTTTATTGATATTTTTTGACCCCTGCTAATGACACGCATAATTCAGCCCAAAAGTCCGAAGAATATTGAATGGCTATAGTAAAAAACAATACTGGACATAGGTATGTAAATATGAGGTCAAATATCGCTGCACTATATTGTGTTACCAGCTCCTTAATTAGGCATCCTAGGAATTTCATATGGACTATGAGATCAATTGTTTTTTTATGAAAAAACTTCGATCCCAATATCCTGAAAAGCAGGACGTAAACAAAAAGGTCATATTCACCCCCCCCCCCCCCCCCCCATTTATCAGTTATCTGTTTGATAAATCTTTTTATCCTACACTTAGTGTACTAAATGTATAATAACATTAAAAAATAAATTTGATATTTATTGGCAAAATGAATATCCGGAGGATATCGTAACGATATACTCCGGGCGGAGGATATCGTGACGATATACTCCGGAAAACCCAATATGCGGAGGATATTGTGACGATATACTCCGCTTGTTGATTTTCCGCCTCATTGGCATGAAATTCATTTTGCAATGATATTATACATTTAGTACACTCCTTGTAAGTGTAGGATAATAAGAACATCCTATGATTTTTTCAGAATATCATTTTAATCTACTCGGTGATATTAATATGCACTCGTTCGCTTCGCTCTCTCGTGCAGATATCAATATCACCTCGTAGATAAAAATGATATTCCTCAAAATCATAGGATATCCTATAAATATGATACTTACTTATTGTCTGAGTTCTCGAACCAAAACCTGTCTCCATCTCTTATCCTTTTGAATTGTTCCTTAATAACCGCTTTGAAGAAAGGACCCGGTCCACTAGGTCCGGACTCCATCAATCCAGCTGGAAATATGTCCAGTTTATCCAGGCTACCGTTGTAAATACGACGCAGGTTTTCGATAGGCTGGAAATACATTATCGAATAGCAGTGAACCATTTTGCATATCCGTTTTAATTTATCATATCTTGTGGGATACATTTTGGATCAATTGAATTTGAGAAACTGGGAGTACCTCTGGGTTTGTGTGGTAAAGGTATGGGTTGATGTCTTCCCATTTCGTTATTGGTTCTAATCCAAACACCTTTCTAGCTGTATTAAAGTCGGCCAGTCCATTGTCTCGACCCCTCATGATAGTTAACACACCAAGGTCCTGTCTACTAGAAAACTTTGGCCCAAATAATTTACCTGAAAAAAATGTTTGAAAAGTACAATACTTTAAAAAGTATTTATAGTTCACTGTTTGTGTATTGATTCTGTGGTGTTTGCCTATTGATGTTTCCCAAATATATATAAATGCCGATTGTTTTTTTAATCAGTCTGTAACCAATGAAAATGTACCTCGTAAGTCTGTGACCAGGATGTTATCTTCTCTCTCCCCTATTTGGGAAGAAAGTCCCATCAGAACCTCATCAAATCCAAGTTCCTGTATACACTCCTAAAATAAGGTATCCTGATAGTATCGTATAGCCGTGTATAGTGGCCTGACAAGCGAAATGCAATAAGTAGAACCAAACTATCTATTGACATGTCTCTTTTTGATTTTCATAAAATTTCGTTTTTCATTTCGGGGATAATGTTTACATAGTACTATTTATCATATGAAAGATTACGGTATTTGTGAACAAATCATTCTGTTTCATTTGGACTTTAACATATGTCCATATTGAGGCCTCACATATATTGCGTTGTATTGAACTAATGTCATTGGTTCTAATTGCAAGCGATATTATATGATACTATAATTTGCATGCATATGATTTTATGTTAACCTACTTGCGAGTCCCAATAAGTGTTACAAAGACGCAGTGCAGGACCGTGCTTCGTTGTTCTAAACCTGCATTTATAATCTCTACAAGAACAAAAAATTGTAATATTGGGTGTTCTATAATAACAAAGCTATCACTTCTATATATATGACACAAAAAATCACTTCAAAGAATCGAGGAAAAAATTTCAAATCACTTGACATAAAACATATAGAAAAATAGGTGAAGTATACCAAAAACCAAACATATCAAAAGGTACAGACGGTAACAATTAAGTAATTGTACTGCAAGATATAAATATTCAAATAGACTTTTAACGCTATTAGAATTAAAAAATACCAACTAAAATTATTTATTTAGACTATTTGAGTCTAAAAACACTATTCCAAGATTTTGGGCTAGGAGTTGCTCATTATGAATGATGCACAGCTTGTGTAAAATAGTTTCTTACTCAGTCAAAGATTAGCTAGCCTTGCCCAAGTTGGTCTCTTTTACTTATCTTGATTTCTATAATGGTAATAATTCAAGACTAGATAATTAAAAAATACCGACTTGGGCAAGGCTAAAGATTAGCAAAAAATATGGAATAAATATCTAAAGTTGTCACTCTCTCAAAATGATTGGAACATTATCGAAAGAATTAACAAACCAAGTAATTATCTGTAATTCCCATGTAAAAAAGTCCTTCGTAGATGTTTAGCAACTAATATAAATGTGTGGACTAACATTTGCACCTTTTGTAAAGCAAATCCTGAAACGATTTGCCATATTGTGTATGATTGTACTATTGTAATTGCTTTAATGACATTAAACAATGGCTCCCATTAGAGCTAACAATCCTATGTACTAAACAAAATGTATTGATCAGACCTGATGGGATGGTCTGACCTCATGGGTTGCTCAGAGAGAGTTTAAATGATAAAACATTCATTTAAACATAAATATCCCGTGCTTATACCAACATTTAAAGGGTTTATCAGTAATGTAGAATAGATAATTGGTGATAATTGGAATTTCGCATAAAAGTCTTGAATTCTGTAGTGTAAACAAAAAAGTATTGTAAACAAACTGTATAGAAGTTGCCTTTATATTTTTTCTCTGAAATAAAAACTAATTAATAAGATATTTACAATGCTCTTGGTATACTATGTATATCCTATGAGGGTGACATGAGATCGGAGAAAGAATTCCATCATAGTAAATGTGATCGAGTCATTTGATAGCATACCTGATGTATATTCCAGGGGGAACCATGGTATGAGGGAAGCGAAATGCAGCAGCCTCAAACACACTGCTAATTGTAGGGGGAATGTGACTCTGATAACCTAAAATATAAATACTGCTGATTTTAGGGGTAGCAATGGATAAACAACAAGTCCTGGGTATTAGGTAGGAAAGGTAATGACAAAGGGACGAATGGTTTATCTAACTTTACCACACTGAATCCTATTAAGGTGAATGGTCCATGATCCAATTTTAGGTAAACTGAATTTCTTTTGTATTGACATTAAGGAAAGTGTGTTGATAAATGAGTGGGATGTTAATTGTCAAGGTTCAGTGCACTGCGTGTCACAGGCCAGGTACAGTGTAAAATTTTCTTTCTTTTGCGTTTTCTATTCAATTATTGAATGAGTGAATGGTGGTGTAATGTTCAGTCCACTGCATGTATTCCAGTCCAGGTGTAAGTATTGGGCATAGAAAGAGCTGAGTTGTAAGAAAGCATAAGTTGTTTTATTTTAAAGAATACAAAGTAACAAAAGAAGAATAACCCCTGGCGTTTCCAGAGTTGGAGAGGTGCAGTAAATACCTTATTAAGGTACCTTATTATAGGCCATTCAAATAAGGTACCTTATTATAGGCTTATTCAAAAGAATCGAGAGGGAGGTGTATTAGAATCTCAAAAAGTAGGCCAAATGAGGTCAAAAGTATGTCAAAGTAACACAGGGGAGATTTTTTGGTGTATTATTTATTTCTTCATTAAAACAACATATAATATTTCGTTAGGGAGAACGGGGTGATAAATGGGATAGATGAACATCGGATCTACATTTCCAAGACAAAAAAACGTGAATACCATTCTTAGATCCGTAGATAGGTAATTTGGTCTGGAATGTGAAGAAATCATTGGGTTAGGGGACACAAAACACAGTCTAAAACCAATAATACTGATTAAATAATTCTTTTGTAAGTAAACATCCTAGACAATACCCTTGGCTATATCATACTATTTTCCTCATATCTATTTCATACCAAAAGTTTTAATTTCGTACGGCTACTCATTTTACTAGAGCACTGAAAATGTGTTTCTTTTCGCATTATCAACATTATATAACCTCCAAAACTAATAAATAAATAAGCAGATCGTTACCTAATTGCAGTTTTTTCTTGAATTATAGGGGCCAAATGAAATACAAATTACTGCGATCTCATATTTATATTGACCTATTTTAGAATCTGAGTTAGAAACTGCGCCACTTGAATATTAACACGCTCTACAATTACAGGGTGACTCCTGGTTTCCGGCAGTTTTATTTGGGATATAACGGGAGCGTCATTTGGGATATAACGAACACATTACACATTTCGTTTATGTGAACTATTTAATAATACAACCATAGAGGTCAATAACAAAGCATTACATATCTACATTCTATGATGATCAACCCACTTGATTAATTAAATACCATAGTAACACAAGGGTTATAATAGAGATTATTGGACTAGGTTACTGTAATACTATAATACACAATAATAACCGTTGCAGGATCCAGCTAAATAATTTACGCAAGGGGAAGTCATACGTCGATATATAATTATCAATTTGCACTCAGTGGTCATTTTGATTACTATTACAATACTTTTTAAAATGGTTAGATGTTATCCTGTTCCTTGATGAGATTACATGATAAGTATTAAGGGTCGATGATATTCAATGATTCATATGACACCGACTACAGATGATAATTCGAAAGAAGATGATGGAACGAAGTAATTAAAGTGCCTCAAAGGACTAAAACAGATGGAAAAAAGATTGGAAAATGTTTCTCTGTGCATTCCTCGCCCTTGAAAGTAACTTTGGAGTACGTACATATAACGATTGCATTTACTTCTCAAGGACTACAAATCACGCCGGTTGGTAACGGACATGTTGACACCCTCTATACTCAACAATGGTGTATTGGGCAGAGTATCAAAATATAGCAAACTGGGTATGGCTCATTTGGTCACCGATATCTTTGACTCTTGGAACATTAGGAAATATTCTAGCCTTTATAGTTATGAGGAGGAAAAACATAAGAGGAAGTTCGAGTAGCGTCTACTTTGCCTCTATCTCAATTGCAGACACTCTGGTACTCTTTGCGGGAATTATACCAACATGGGTAGGTGAATTGACGACAGTATTTGTCTTTTTATTAAACCAATGGACATGTAAGGTGTTCTTTTTCTCCTTATTTTCTTTTGCAGACATTGCAATATGGTTGCTTGTTGGGGTCACTCTAGATAGATTTGTCGCTGTGTGCTTTCCACATAGTGCAAAGCGATGGTGTACGCGTCAAACCGCTTCGCGCGTGTGTCTGGTGATTCCAATAGTTGCAATTTTAAAGAACACGCATTTGTTTTGGACAAAGGGGAACCAATGGGAGGCTGTTGGTAATGTAACCTCGTTGGTGTCTGTATGTGGTCATCCATCACCAGCGTATGCTTACTTTGAGACATATGTGAGACCGTGGATAGCAATGGCCCTTTACGCCTATATCCCTGTGATCGTGGTTGTCATATGCAACTTGAGTATTGTACTACGACTAAGGAAGTTAAGGAAAAAGATCAAACCAGACACAATTGTTTCAGACCGAAATCAACCCAAAATAAAATCTTCAATGACAATAATGTTCATTTCTGTTTCCTTGGTGTTCCTCATACTAGTGGTTCCAAGTATAACTGTGATTGTGTCTCAACCAATATGGGTGAAGACAGACGAAGATAAGGCCGTCAGTAAATTGCTAAGCGCAATCACGGAGAATATGGTGTATGTCCACCATGGGATCAACTTTTATCTATATTGTCTCACTGGCAAACGTTTCCGTGCAGAGGTAATGACATTGTTTAGGTCGAAGAAACAGTATAACATGTCAGCTGAAGAACCAACTAATGCAGTTCAAGAATCGTAATTAAGATGTGAAATACATGCAACCGATAAGGAATGTTTAAAAGTATATGACAATACCCTTTGTACAAAACATTACCTGAATATGACTCGGTGTCCTCGTAAAGTAGTGCCGGTAACCACTCGTACATTACAATATTCTGAAGTGACGCAATCACCCACTTTCTGGCGGCTTCAAACACCTTCTGGTCGCTCCAAGATGGTTGTTTAAGTTGTATCGTGTGCGCCAGGTAGTTGTGATACCTGAACCAAAGAATACTTATGCTCAACAGCGCTGGATTTTGGTGTCCTACTCTACTACCAAGCACTGGAAAATATGTTTAATGGTATATTTTATCTGTTGTTGTATGTGCTTTGTGACAAAATCTAAGAGGATGTGATGTCAATATTTTTACGACTGTGCTGGTGTTTGGTGCCAATGCTGCTATTCCCCACCACTTATTATTATTCATTTATTAACCTGTATTTAAACAGAGTAGTACAAAACATATAATATACAGTTATGGTGGATCGAAACATATTTACAGTTTAGTGACACCTTGTTAATTACAAGAGATCAGATGCATCTATAGTGTGTTTCACTAGTATGTTAATTGCCAGCATATTGGCTGACGAGCTTTGCTCTTTTGATATACATTACATGGATGATGTTCGAAATACCAGCCATGTCTGAATAAGTGACGTTGCCATTAAAATTAAATATGATATTCTTATTGTCCGTCAAGCCATTGCCACTGTACTTGTCCAATATTTTATTAATTTGATGCGTTCATCAGAAAAATTCGTACACGAAAATAAAAAATGATCCAGAGTTTCAATCTCAAACATGTCACAAAGGAAGCAGGTGCTATTAATACCATCATTTTTTACTCTAAAATCGTGACTGTCCGTCGTGAATTTGCCCATATTATCACAGTCTTGTCGAAAAAGGTCTACAATTTTTGTTGACACCATAATTTATTCTCAGTCTTGAATTTCAAAGAAATTACAAGACTTAAACAAACATGCCTCAAATTCGATTTTGTGCAAAATTTTGTATTTTTTGTTTAATGTACACCAGAAAAGTTGAAGGTAACAAAAGATGAGCAAAAAGGTCGCTGTCGACAGATTCTATTTCTAAAACAACATGATCGGATGTCACAATATGGGACGCTTACTAGAATTCATCCTTTATGAAATAACACATCCATCTACCTTTGTCCAGACGAAAAGTATAATTGTCAAATATTGTTTAGGTTATGGGCGTTTAAAGACGAAAAATTATTCAAAATGTAACGTGTCGACAGTGAATATTTTCAAAAACAAACGCACAAGAATTGTGAAAGGAGTGTACTTGATTTGAAAACTTCATTATATCAGCTTTAAAATGATATATTGCTTTAATTAGAGTATTATCTTATATTCCGAAAAATTAAAGTTACATTCATGCGATACTCTAAAAATACAAGTGCGCCACCGTTTTGCGACGTGTCAATGGTTTCTTCAATTATCCTCCCTCGTCCTAATATAATAACATATTCTGTTAACTAATTAGAAATTGCTTAGATTCTTTTTAAAGTATTTTGTATTTTTAGCACAGGATTCTCAACCATAGAAGAATCATAAAATAGTTGGCATGATTGTTTCTTTATCTACGTGACAGAATACCAATATAGGTTGGCAGAGGTGTCAGAATTGAAATAAATGTACATGTAATGGACATACACAATTGGAATTCTTGAGACCTTACTTCAGGGAAGAGATGTCAGACAATTAGACTAGGTGTTTTATTGAATTTTTTAATGTAAAACATGTATGAGCTTATAAATTGTATGATTTGTTGCACAATACATCATATAAGTGATATTAAAAATTGTAACAATGTTATATTGATTAATTTGTCACGCCAGTTGTACTAATTAATTATGATTATTACTCAGTTTGCAATGATCTGCACGTGCATCATGATGTACGTTTCTCCATATACCAGAAACACATACTGGGGTCAACGGGATGGTCGGATGACTTCAATTGGAAAACGTATATCGACAGATTACTCATGGATAAGTTCCTCACAAAAACACACACAATATATGTAATCCATTATATGATCCTTTTAGATATCTAATTATTCATTAATAAACGGCATGTCGTACATTTACAAATGCGTTTTTATTGTAAAACCTACTCACTCCACATTTTCTCAGGGTTCTTCGCCTCATTTGTCATCGAACCCATGTTGTAACCAACCAATGGCAATCCTATATCGTTGTTGGCTGGATAGAAATTGTTTGTCTGAACCAAAAGGGTTCCATTCTTAAAGGACCTCAGACAATTTGCCCAGACATTTCCCGTACCATAGATGGAGCTGCCATCAATCCAACTGGTCACGTGATTGAGCTTGACGTAACAAAAATATATGCAAATGTAAAGCTGCTACACATGGACTAAAATATGGATTAATGGACGAAATGTAAGGAACCCTTTACCTTTAGACTTGAATTAAATCACTGACTAAGATAATATCATGATAACATCTGCACGTATAATCTCTTATAGCCTTGCTTCATGCATCGTAATTAAAGAAAGATAACAATTATATTTTTGGCAATCGTTGTGTCTTTACACCAGTTTGGTTAAAGTCCCCATGCATATTTAGAAACTATGTTCATTTACTATTTTCATGACACTTTTAAAAAAAAATATTGAGAAAAAGGTTTTTCTCAAATATTCAAATATCCCGCCATTTTTCAAATAAAAAATGTTTTAATTATCGAATATTCCACAATGCAGTGCAAAACACATTATCGTTTTAACAGAATTGCAAAGATTGAACGAAGGAAAAACTATTCCAATAATAAAATGTCTAATGTGCCACTTCAGTGTAATTCAAGGCTTACCTGCCGTCGAGGTCTATTAGGAGACATGCCGGTTTTTTGATCGTATGAAGATCTAAGAAAAGGCAATGTTTTGTCACCTTCACAATCTGGGTCAAAGTCGCTATCACATTTTGGTACAGGTACCTTAATGAGTTCAATTGGACAAGTGGATTCCTCACTGGAGCGCACTATTTCAGATGACACTTGTTGTCCTAAAACGAGACACGTGTAGTTATACCAAACATTGTCTAAGAAGTAAAACACAAAATGCTCTATGTCTAATTCTAAGAGCTTTTTGTTGGAAAATTTAATTGCTGATGACATTGACAGCCACGAAGTGCAAATGTTATGTTTCATGGTTTGATAATATTACATGACGTGTTATTATTTCATTATTTGGTTAACCATTTACAAGTGAGAACAATTCAGATGGTTATATACAAAGCCATGACAAAACTAAATGTTAATGGTACATAGTATGTTACTCTCTAGTATATGGTATCATTCTAAGTCGAAGACACTTAGCCAGGAGGGGAGATTTAGAGGGTTCGAGGGAACCCCCGACTTGGACAAAAAATCTTTCAAAATCATGCAGTTTTTCACCATTTTGAGCACTTTTCAAATGATTTTGGGCCAATGTTGTCAAATGTGAGCACCTGGCATTTCTAAGACGATAAACATATTCACGTTTAACATAATGCACTTGCAGGCCAGTACGTACATACCGAAAAAAACAAATAGTGCTGTTCTGTTGATATATGAAGGCAACCCACTTGGACCAGCGAAAACAGCATTACTTATCTCTCTTGCATTCGGCCGATCTTCACCGGACATGTGGTATGTAAAGTCTGCATAGGCTGTTGGTATCTTTGTCATCAAGGCACTCTCTATAAAATATATTTTCAAGTCATGAACTTTAAATTCAGAAAGAAACGAATATGATTCCCGATAAGTATGGTATGTATTGTTAGTTGTGTTTTCCTCATGCTATTTTTGCTCCTCCAATGCTCAACAAACGTTTCGAAACAAAATTAAATTATAAGATGCATTTCAAAAATACAAAATTGCAGCAAATTGTTTCATACCCTGAATAGTACCAGCAATATTGAAATATTGATTTAGATTTGACTTAATTGGGACCGAAGACTAATATTGACATTTCACGACTGCATTCATGGCCTGAGGGGCCGGGGAGCTCGATGTGTTTCCAAAAGGTCATTGCATGCACCTCACTTTTGCCTTTTTACTTCTCGGAAAGAGTTCGCTGCTGGAATAAGGACAGTTGAGCAACGTGTGTATGTGTAGGAATATATAAGCGCAAATGCCAAAGGAAAAAAGGGGGTAGGAAATGCCAGTTGTGCTTCCTCTGGTGTGTTCAAGCGTTAACATCAGCTACCTCTAGTCAGATCGACTAACAAAACAACTATTGTTTGGGTTGTCAAGTTGGCTGAGAGGGCTTGAGTGCCAGTACGTTGTTCATGCTAGGCGATTGGGCGCCGTAACCACGAGGTTGCGAGTACGAGACGCGTGTGCTCTTTGTGTTTATTCATTTTTAGATTTTGCACATATTATCTGGCATGTAATAATGAGTGCACATACCAAACATCATGTCTCATAAATGAAAATAGTTAATTTTATCATATACATTTTGATTTGGTAGCATGGCCATTGACGGATATAGTCCTGAGTAAGGACATTAGCGGTTACCGTGATTTGGTTTTCTGAATAAAAAGTCATTTTCTTTCCCTACCCCATTGGAGCGCCATCTGGCGTTTGGGAAGTGAATCGGGACTAAATATTTATAAGGTAGGTCCTAGTTTATCTGAAAACATGTCAGAGTTCAGTGGGAAATCTCAGTTTAAGCTGGCGGCGGAGTGATTTTGACCTTGGTGATTTTACCAGAATTCTCTGAGAAATCTGACGATAGAGGGGGTAGGTGTCTTCAAGTTTATTTCAAAAATTCGGTGGACAACCCATGGTAAGATTGTTATAGCAGGCTAGGCGAGTCTCTCCCGAACACTGTGGTATGTTGCACTAGGCGTGGATACTAATTGTTAATAAGATACAGGGTAAAATGTTATAATGGCCACCTATGGGAAACTCACTGTAGTCTCCAGCAACCGACACAGAACATGTAACGTCACATTTAACTTTAATTAGGAATCTTTATTTCTGAGCATATCACTTCTGCAAACGATATAATATTTATATCGAGCAAGCACTCTTGGCCCATGCCCAGTATACAATATTCACTGCAAAGTTGTATCTCCTCCAATGCATTTTTATTGTTGTTTAGCCACCCATTTTTTGAAAACATTTGTTTGGCCAATCTTATCTTATTTCAATCTGGCTGCCCTTACAGTTTTCTCATTGGAATGAAAATGTTGACTCGTTAGGAGACCAACAGCATAGAACTGTAGTTCAAGTTCATTTGGTGAATACTGAGCAAGGTCTACATTTTTAAATCATAGACTACTCTGCATTCTGTCCATTCTCTGTGTACTGCATTGCAGTATGACATTGATGTTGCTGCGTTGGTAACCAGGATTTTGAGAGCAGGTACGCGAAGATCAAGCAAAACTAGGGTCCGGGGCATGCTCCCCGGATAATGTTTGATTTTAGACCTAGATGGTGTGTTCTGAGAGATATCAGACTGTGTCTTGAAGAGAAGTAGTCAAAGAAAGATCATGAAACAAAATATTTGGCTTTACTTTTTTTTGTTTACAACAAATTTTTGGGCTCTATCATTTAGGGTACGCAAGTGCGTATGCCTGGTTACGCGCCTGCTTCCTATTTCCACAAAATCTGTTTTTCTGATGACGTTTTTAACTTTGGCAGACTTTCCAACTCATGGAGATCCCACACTATATGTCTTTAAACTAGGACTATCATGATGCCATTCTATAAATGAACCATACTATGAATGTAACCACTATACAGGACATATTTAAAATTATTTAAATTACCAACTGGCATACGTTTAAATGGAGAATACATAGCTCAAAATTATGTGAACCCCCATCATATTATACATCGTTTCAAAATCGAGTAGAAATTGATGTATGTGTCAACACACCTGTGACCAAGTTGCTATGCATGGCAACCATTATTTCATTGTTTGGAAGTCATGAGCTTTAAGACTTCGAAAATTTAAGCAAGACTCCTTAAAACTAGACCTAGTGTCATAACTGAGTGAACACCCTGTATAACTTTCATAGTGAAATATATCATTGCTTCTATTTCTATTTTCGGATACTTACTTACAGACCCCCAGTCTGGGAAAGCGAGATTATTGTACCACCCATCGAATCTCTGTCGGTGACCAGCTGAAACATTTTTGAAACATGTAACAAACGTTTAATTACCCTGCGCGCAAAGTCAGACGTACTATGCGCGAGAGTCTAGCTATAAACAATATATATTATATTATCCCATACTTGGACGTGTTACAGGTACATAAAGCCGGTTTGTAAAAACTTATATTTTCATCAGCGGGCAGATATAGCTTTACGTCCCGCTCCGAGCGGGCAGATATAGTATATCTGCCCGCTACGTCATAATCGCCGTTCCCATATTGGTTCATTCTTTGTAACGTTCGCATACTGTAAACGACGAGAAACTGGAGAAAAACGCAGACAATCGCGATCTGTTTGATGCTTTAAAGAAGGGAAGAAGCAGTATGTCCTGTTCATAATCAAAGATTCGTACAAGAAAATCCGGCTACGGACTAGAATACAAAACTGGACATGAATATTCTAAAATAATTCCACGGTTGGTTGCAAAGTTTCTGAACTGTGGCCAATTGCAATTAAACGATGTGAACCAACTGACCAAGTTTGGCATGGGATAAACAGATCATCCTATAGTCGGTTCAGGATATTTGGATTATCCCTTGGCCAATATAATATATCTACCCTCGGGACCTACCCTTGGGCAGATATATTATATTGGCCTCGGGATAATCCCAATATCCTGAACCTCATATAGGATAATCTCTATATACAATATTTATTGACATGTAAGATTCTATATTTTTCGTTTCGTTTTTTAACTTGTGTTTCCAGATACTATTACTCTACACGTATAGATTTCTTAAATAAACATCAACACAAAGAACCGCGAGTTGTTTGTAGAATGAATCGAGGGAATTTGTTCATGCATTTTGCTTATGTTTTTCATCTAAAAAACAATAATGCACTGTAACACATTTTATTGACTATAAGATTGCTCCGTATAATCCGCCAAAAATTTCTCATTTTCAAGGATTATCTATGGATTAACACTCGGGTATTTTTATTTTTCAAACTTCAGAGGGCTGGGAATCATTGTGCTCGACGCTTTTGAATAATATAAATGCTGTTTTAAATAGGTTTCATGTATGCCAATAACAATGAACAGAATCAATTTTTCGGTCATATATCACGCCATAAAATCATAAAATCTTGGTTTTTATTCCTTAAATATACAACTTATTGGGTTGCGATATAAATGAAAGCAACCCAATAATGTGTATATTTATAGGATATCCTATGATTTTGAGGAATATCATTTTTATCTACGAGGTGATATTGATATCTGCACGAGAGAGCGAAGCGAACGAGTGCATATATCAATATCACCGAGTAGATTAAAATGATATTCTGAAAAAAATCATAGGATGTTCTTATTATCCTATACTTACAAGGAGTGTGCTAAATGTATAATATCATTGCAAAATGAATTTCATGCCAAATAGAGTCAATTTGGCGGGAAATCAACAAGCGGAGTATACCGTCACAATATCCTCCGCATATTGGATTTTCCGGAGTATATCGTCACGATATCCTCCGCCCGGAGTATATCGTGACGATATCCTCCGGATATTCATTTTGCCCATAAATATCAAATTTATTTTTTAATGTTATCATACATTTAGTACACTAAGTGTAGGATAATAAAAATTAACCTTCCTGTTCTCTCAAAATCTGCTTGGAACCCTACCATTGGATTAATATGGGAAATTCCTCCAAGAGAATATTCTAGGGATTGAAGAATTGGTGCAATTAACACAATTTGAGAAATTATTGGCATACATGAAACCTATTTAAAACAGCATTTATATTGTTCAAAAGCTTCGAGCACAATGATTCCCAGTCCTCTGAAGTTTGAAAAATAAAAATACCTGGGTGTTAATCCATGGATAATCCTTGGAATGAGAAATACTTTTTTGGATTATATGGTGCAATATAGTCATTAAACTGATTTAAAGTGTATTCCTGTTCTTAAGATGAAAAACATAAGCGAAATGCATAAAAAACTCCCCCAATTCATTCTACAAACAACTCGCGCCTCTTTGCACAAGTTACAGCATATCAACCGGTATAGAATTTATTTCGTATGTTTTTATTCGTTTATTTCGTTCATACGAGTTCATTTCGTGATGTAAATTGTCAGTTTGAAGAATATTATATAGATGAGATATATACAGGGTGGGCCAAAAAAGCAATACCCAACTTTGAATCAGTATAAAAATAGCTATATTCAATATGATGCATTGATTTATACATCATTTTAAAGGTAATCCCTTTTCGAACATTTTATATAGTATATAACACTATGTCATGAAATCAACATTTAAGTTTTATTATACTTATTTGGGAGGCCAGTTTGCTTTTTAAGGTCTCCAGATTTTAGGGAGAAAAAAGTAAATCTGCGGAATAATGTTAATTTTTTATTTATAGAATATCATTTTGTGAGGTGAATACATGGTTCTATATGTGTATAGTTGTGTGACTAATTTCAGTGTTGTTTACTATCAATAAGTACTTAAAAGGGTTATGTTAAAAGACAAGGATTTTATTTTCCAACAAGACATTGCCTCGTACAATAGATCAAAGGAGACATTGGCATGCATTCCTTTGCGAATAAGGTGTCAATTGATCTCGATGCTTGGCCACCCAACAGCCCCGATGCTAACGTGGTTGATTGCCATACATTGTGCAATCTCAAGGAAATGGTATAATCACAAGCATCCAATAAACAGCATTGATGAGCTGAAAGAGAATCCTAAAGTGCTTAAATGAATTGCAACAGAAATCTCTCAATAAGGCTATTGATAGATTGCGCTACTACGTACTTGAAGCTTTTTGTTGACGCAGAGGGAAAAGTGGGGTATATTGAGCAATTGTTAAAATTGGTTAAATAAATAAAGTGTAAAATGTTATTAAACAGCACTGATCTTCATAAACAATAAATATAGTCACACAATGATGCAAATCAATATCCAAGAGAATGTATTCACCTAACAAAAAATGATATTCTATAAATAAAAAATTAACATAATTCCTTAGATTTACTATTTTCCCCCTAAAATCTGGAGACCTTAAATACTGTAGCAACCTGGCCTCCCAAATAAGTATAATAAAACTTTACTATTGATTTCATGACATAGTGTCACATACCAAATTGTTTGAAAATGTATAACCTTTAAAATGATATGTGAGTCAATGTACCATATTGAATGTAACTATTTTTATTCTGATTTGAAGTTGGGTATTGTTTTTTTGGCCCACCCTGTATTAAAGTAAAAACGCTCATGTTATCATCCTGAGTTTATTTTGTCTCACCATGGTAGATAAAAGTAATAATCATATTTAAATTCAAGCTATGCTACTGTACCTGTTGTCGTCACTGCCAAGACTGTTGTGATTAGGTATATTATACTCCGCATCTTCCTTTGAACTTAGACGAAAGCATCCATGGACGACTTTCTAATAGGATCTGTAAATTATAAAGGATATAAGTCATTTTTCTTGCGAAATATATCAAATTCAACAGACATACAGGGTGTTCAATAAGCAATGACACCAGGTCTCCCACTTTTATGGCAAATGTGACATATTGTTATGGTCTCCAACTTTATTGTGGATGGCGTCTGTAACACATTTCTTGTAACAAATGTCTTGTAACAGATTCTTGTAACAAAACCTTACAACGTCCAATAACTTAACAAGTACTGTTTAGACTGGCTCAAATTTTCCCAAATCCATCTACAAGTTCTCTGAAGTTACAATCTGACTTTAAATTTGAAATTTGAATTTCAATGACCTTTAAGGTAAAAAAATGTTGAATGGTCTTTTTCGAACTTGCTACTTTGCAATTTTTTTCAAAATCATCTACAAGTTCTCAGAGGTTCAAATGATCAACCGACTTTAGATTTGCAGAGATCTGACCTTCAATGACCTTCTCAAAGTTAAAAAGAATAACATTGTATTTTTCGAACTTGCTTCAAAATTTCAAAAACATTTACAATTTCTCAAAAGTTCGAATCTGACTCTGATATTTTAGATATGACATCCAAAAAGGTCAAAAGGGTATTTGTCAACTTGAATCAAAGTGACAAATTATTTTCAAAATCGTCTTCTTTTTCTCAGAAGTTTAATTCTGACTTTAGATTTGAGATTTGACCTCCAATGACCTTCTCAAGCTAAAAAAGGACAAGGGAGTCTTTTCAATGGCCTTTGAAAGGGGTGAAATTATGTCATGTTTATGGCTTGTGTCTAAATTTTCAGTATGTCTCAAGCGTGAAATAGTGAGTTTATCTGAAAAAAACCTCCTAACCTTCAAACAGTGCTTGACATTGCAACTTGGTGACAGGTGCGTTGACAGAGACATCGATTTTTCTCAATTTTGATGAAAAGATGTATAATATGATGGGGTTTTACATATAATTTTGCATGATTTCAATGCAAAGTTTTTTTACGTGTATGTATAAATATATAACACATATGTGTACCAAATTTCATTGCAAAAGTCTTATTTTCCTTGAAGTTATGGCATCAACTGCAAAATATTTTGAACCACCTAAGTAATACCGTAAGGAAAAAAATGCGCTGACCTCACCTACGAATAAGGGCATCTACTTCTATTTTAATTGTTAAAAAGTACAAAGTATTTGAATTATTACCCAATATTATATAACCGTTCGCTTTAGTGAATTGGTCGCCATAATCAACAGTAACCACAATCGTATTTTATATTTTTGCATACTAATATACAGGGTGGGCCAAAAAACGCAACTTTTTTCAAAATGCTATAAGTTTTTTAATTTTTGATACAAAATCATAATTTGCATACCAAATATAACTTGAGGTTGTTATCTAGCCATGGATCATGAATTATACATTTTTACTTGAATAAAATATGTCACCAGCGTCTCACTTAAACATGTGGTGTGCCATGAGAAATAAGCATAATTTGCAAAATGTTCCTGAACTTATACGCCCTGATGACTGCCAAGCTAATAGTCCTAATGCAAACCCCAGTGATGTATGATGGTATGAAGGCACCCAATCTAAAAAATTGCTCAACTAAAGCTGGCAATTAAGACACGTTGATAAAAAATATAGCTAACATTTCATTAATACTGCTATATCAGCAAGGCTAAAACTAAAATCTATCATCAAATAGGGTGGCGGACGAATTTAACTCCTCTTTTAGATCAAATATAATCCCAGTTGAAGGACTTGTTACATTATATTATTACTAAGAACCCTTGGCACTATATAACTGCAAAATTTGGGGTATGTGGGTTGGAAAATAAAAAGGTTATAGTGTCTTGAAAAAAGTGGCGTTTTTTGGCCCACCCTACTCAGTTTCGTTTTTTTAAATGACGTTTAATAGAGAAAATGACTATGATCAACATTAAAGGTGTTTACGAAAATGGTGGCCATTTTGAAATGCAGCTGTCATCTTGAAAATGTCTTCCCTAGATATTAGCATATGGAATTTGAACCAAATCCGTCCACTGCTATTTGAGTTTTCAAAGAATACGTTTTTTACGAAAAATGGCGGCCACTTCTTCAGCAAACCTCCTTTGTCCCTATCAGCATATAGAAGTAAAGCCAAACCCGTCAACTAGAACTTGAATTATCAAAGATTACATGTTTTACAAAAAATAGCGGCCATTTTAAACTGAGGGGCCATATTGAAAATTCCTTCTCGAGCAGATGTCCTACACCCTTAAGGCATGAGCCTATAAATGTGAATCAAATCTGTCATTCGGTATTCGAGTTATCGCCCGGACAAACGAACGGACGGACAAACACATTAGAAGGACGGACAAATGCACGGACGGACGAACGCATGGATGGACGGACGGATGGCTTCTCTATATCCCTTCAGAAACTTGAGAGCCAATGACAATAGCAGCGAATTCGAGTCATCCATGTTTGATCTGATGTCTCGAATCTATTTTTACAATCTTTGGCTGGTTATGTGAACATTGACCTGTTTGTTGAAGAATTGTATCCATTGACCAAGATGGCATGCTCTATATGATCTCTATTGCAACTGAATGGTCTACAAGGTCATTGCATGGAAGAATTAAATTATATACTTACTCAAAAATGATTCAACATATCCATTTTTAATCTGCTGTGAAACATGTTGAAAATGGTAAATCAGTTGCAAACTACGTGATCTACGTGTTTTCAAAAATAGCCATGCTATCTAATATGTATTTGGAGAGCAACTCTTGGACCATTTTATCACATTTGTAACGTGAACAGCTTTTCTTTTCTTTTACTTCTTGAGTAACCCATTCAGTTTGGAGTAAACATTTTACAAACGTGCATGTGCAAAAAGAAATGAAAAGATCTTACAAAAAAACCTTTTGCCTGTATCCTCTGATGTTTGAGCTTGTTCCTGAAGCTGATGTTTCAATCGGTTGTCTAATCTTGTATGTCGATCCGAAATACCATCAATAGTAGATTTCACGCGATCTTATTTATACATTTCCGAGTGTTGTGTTGCATCAAGAGTACTGTTTATGTCGCCATTGTTATTAGCAAAGTTTCTTGTCTATGCTATACTACATAAACCTGTCACAATATGTGAGACATATTACTCAGGTAGGTGGAGGACGGATTTTGCTTGTCATTAATGTCCACTGGCGGCAAGCACGTTTGCTTCTGATGTAAGAAGAACGTCTAGTTATGGACGATAATAGAGGCTTTATTAGTATATAATGTACCTTGTTATAGCTGCTCGGAGTGAGAGAACAAGGAATTATTCAATACATTAAATGCAGAAGTGAATAAAAGTCTGAACGGGAGAAATTTCTAACTTCAGCAAAATCAACAGTCGGAGTTTCTGTCAAGTATATGTAAAACAAACAGCAAAAACACATATGCAATAGTTATTAAGAAAAACAAAAAGCTGATAACAAGTCATATAGATTTGGATTTTGTGTCGATTGTGTGAGAACGTATAATATTATAAGTTGTAGATATAAATCAAAGATCTGCCATTCGCCACATTGCAATTAAACGATTTTGTAATATCAGCGGATGACCTTCGTCGTTCTTTTCTTCATCTGACTGTGTCCTCAAAACAGGTAAGTTGTGTTTTTGTTGATTTCCTTTGTTTTGTTTTGTATCATTTTCTTTTCATAATATAAATTATCCATTTGGTAATTGGTGTATTTGTCCTCAAGTTATAAATTAATTTCAATTGTAACAACATTAACTTAAATGTAAAATGAATGACACTTAAGAGGTACGCATATAGGCAAAGGTATACCATTAACATGTGTTGATATTTGGGCTAGATGTAATTTAAACCAGCATTTGGATCCTCTATTGAACGAAATAATGTTTCCTATTGTACTCTATTTAGATCGATGACCTTTTTGACGTTGGTATATTTTGATTTTGGATTAAAGAAAGCCTCCATTTGGATGTGCAAATGTTTCCCTATAATTTAGATGTTTGCTAGATGCGTATCATTCATGATGATAAACTTTTTAAACAATTCATATCATTTATATAGGCCTGTGTTGATGTGTTTCCCCAACGTTCAACTTGGTAATAAATGCCAGTATATCTATCAAGATAAACATTCATGATAAAGTGATTCGATATATCTTTTGCGAGTTATCGTACTGCGCGAAATCCATTTTGTTGATTCATGTATATTACGTAAAACTAAACTAATGTATTTATGTTTGTGTTCGATTGTGCATGCTTTCTAATTTATGGTTTTGCATTGCATTTGCATGAGTGGTTAGCTATATTCATAATTGTACGATATTTCACATTGCAAAAAGTGAATGTTTGAAAATATATCTTAATGCAGAATATAAATACATAATTTCAAAAATACTCATTGATTCAGCATTTATATAGTACGCACTCACCTTCGTCACAAAATCACAAATTGAAGACCCGCATCTGTTAGGTAGATCGATGGCGTTTGCTTTTCAATTATTGTGTTGGTGACCTTGAGATATTTGTAATATGTCAAATCTTTTCAATTTGAAGAGTTAATTCTGAAGAATTTGAAAAATCGACTTACCCCGTGGATGGACAGTTGTAGTTTTTACAGCTTTCTTTATTACTTCTCCACTTATGCGTCTTAAATTATAAAATAAGCTCTCAATAAAACGTGAAAAGGTTTGGTACCTTTGTAGTTCAAAGTTATGACTACTCGATGTTTAAGTTTGATGTTTAACATTCATAAAACTTATTCAAAGTGATATAGTTTGATGCAGTAATTAGTAGCTATGGCCCAAAGCCTAAAAACAACTGTGTAGTATGTTTTAATTCCGGTAAAATTAGGCTTATATTAAATGATTGCATGCCCTTTGGCAGAAATGAATTCCTCAATGGTTTGGCAGTGATTCTGTCAGATGCGATGTGATGCAGCCAAAGTACAGTTTGTAAATCAAATCAGTATATGGATTACTTAGCTACATACGCTAGACATTAAAAGGATGCTAATTTATTACAATAAGACATTTTTATTGTTTTAAGATATGTTAAGGAACTTAAATGAGGACTTATAATCGTGGAAATGGGCCTGGAAGGTACAGTGTACGTTCAGATCCTCTACACATGCGCGCAAGACACCGTATTACGTGTAGTTTTGAACGTGTGTTCTGAGAACAAAAGGCGTTTACTGTCAAATTATGTCACAATTTACGAAAGTATTGAACTTATAATTTGAACAAATGACGATAACATTTCAGGGTCAACATTTTTTCATTTAACTTAATAAACACATACTGATTCATTGTCAGGTCCACAAACATTTCTTGATATCGTTAACGTCATATTTTTAATTTTCTGCAATTTTATTGATAATTTATTATTTTAGAGCAACACACTTACGTTTGTGTGTTTCTAATCCTGCATATGGTTTATTGATGAGATAGTTATCTAAATTGTGTCCAAATCGCATACACCTGGGTACAACCATGGGCGTCCTTGGTACAACTGAATGTCGAGAGAGCCGAAATATGATCACCGTAACCCCTTTCGATAAATCAAAACAATAGTCAGTATATATTTTTGTTCCAGGGCCCCATGACGAACTAATCCATACACCACAGAAGAGAAACACAAATCACAATAGGTAAGTTCTCGTTTATGAATTCTAAATATTGTGAACAGTTTTATTATCTGTAACAAACATGATACTGCTTTACCATTCTCAACTATTTCAATTAAGGACCATGTATATGGTTTAACATGTCTATACAAAATGATTTCTCTTCTCGTTTATTGTCTGATCGTTGGTACTGTAGTGATTTGTTTAAACTTCGATGTTACATACATACATTACAACTTGAAGCACGATTCTGAATTTTCAAAGCAATCAGAATCTGATCAAATGTTTGCACATATTTTTTGCTGAGAAAATTGTGGTGAGAGAAATGCTACTAACTGTGTATGTTAATAGTTAACCTAATATGTGACAAAACTATTGATATGATGGTACATGATAAGGCCAAAGATAGAAAGCATAATGAGTTGCATGAAACGTTTAACGTTACACGAATCTATGTTTATAAACGCCAAAGCGGTATCGAAACATTGATGACAAATTAGCGACGTATTTGAAAAGGTAAGTATTTTAAGAAATTTTAATTGTTGCGTCTTTGACTGAAGATCTACGAAGATCTAAAACATTAGTTGCAGCCCAGAAAGTACAGAGAGTTCATTGCGAAGAAACCATTGATATATTCTTTCATAGATATCTCCTTATCTTGGTGAAAGGAAACGTGAACTTATACTGTTATATAATTCACGTACAGTAATTAGATATGATCTAATTCTTATTGTCGTATTCTCCACATCGGAGTGAATCCAAGGATGACATATGGTCGATAATGTTCGATAATGATAATCTAAAGCAACCTGAGACAACAATGAACCTCAAAACAAAAAACGTCATGCAAACTTAACTGACATAAGAAAATATACAAAAAGAATAGAATCGATACATGTGGATCGCTCTGATCATACTGAGCATACTGCAACGGATGTGAATTGTAACATCCTGGAAATTTGCTTTCTAGTTTGAAAAAGGACATGCGCTTTAAGTTGATTGCCATCTTGTTAATGAGATATAATTACGAAACCTTTGTTGATGTATTACCTTAGGATATAAGCTGTTTACAGTGGCATACATATTATACATGTACCATCGCATAATTACGAGCAATCCTTATTTCATCTACTGGTTTGATTGTAACAAGTATTCGGTTTATTAATCGTTAATGGTCCTTTTTCCATAAAGCTTTGAAATCTTGTTAAGGTCTCGTTTTAATGTGATTTTAGTAGATCTGCTCTTTTGACCATGAAAGACTAAAATTTTCTTCCATTTGATGGCATATTTGAATTACCTGTGTAATTTCCTATCAAATCAACTTTGATTTGCACTGTTATTTGCCTTTATTCAAATTCTAATGATTTTCTAGTTGTCTGAAAAAGGTCGGGCTGAATCCCCATTGCCCCATTTTGGCCCCTTAGGCATTCACAAAGTTTTTGCTTTAATCTGTTGGAATGACGTTCATTTTGATCACTTGTTTCTACTACCATCATTATGTTAGTCAGCATTGTCAGTATTATAGTATTTACTATTGTACTTCTACTATTACAACTTACAAGTGTCAGAGCCTTGTACACTGTAGACCTCTTTAAAACGACAAAGGGTAGTTTGACTTCTCAGTATAGTGTATCTATTCAAAGAGGTTCTGAAACATAAAAATGAAAATGAAAGACCACGATCTAATACGTGCATGTCAACTAGAATGAAAATACGTTTTCCAATGCTTGCAAGGTAAACGTACGCGTCATTATATGGTATTGTTAAATCGTTTACAACTCGTTTATTTAAATATCGTAGTACTAGCAGACTTTGCCTTTGTACCTAATATCAGATATTGCTGCAATATCCACTATAGTAAATATTTTTTGAAATATTTTAGTTTTAATTCATTAAGTGATTGTCTATAGCTATGGGGTGAGAATTTTTGGCATGATAACATCCATTGACGGGATTGTTAACATTCTCATTGTCGGTCATGCATTTATTAAAATTTTGGCCAGATATTTTATTTTAGCTTGATGATATATATTTACCTTAAAGATGAGCAAAGAACTCCCTTGAATAGCAATCAATGTGAGATGCCTACAAGCAACAAAACTGGATCAAGATCTCTCTGACTTATTTGTCAAGGTTTTTAAATTGATGTTGATGATGTGATTTTTCGAATGTAACGTTGATAGCCAAGGGCGTCTAATGATTTAATTAAATGCATCCAATTAATAAGAGTCATTGACTATAAAACGTACAACAACGGGTATGGGTCATAAGTACTGGTAGTAACAATAAATTATATTTTACTCGTGACCTCGCGAAGTTTTATAGAGGTCAGTTAGACAATATGTAAGAACCTTGTATAATCAGTCAATTACCATTGCGTCATTGCAAATTAGTTAAACCATTGATGAGGATCTAGCGAAAGAGTCAGCCTATTGTGCTCAAGTAAAGCTAACCGAATGAAAATATAAAACTATGAGCAAGTAGTAATACACAAGACATCCAAAACCTCTCTAAATGATTTTACAATAAAATAATAATCAAGACACCTGCTTGGAATCTCCTCCTTTTAAGGTCACCTGAAATTTATGGCATACCATCGTGACATCCGTCAGTCATACTGAAGACCTTCCAGTTATTAAAGTTGCGGTTTGCTCATGTAAGTTTAATGGGGATAAGGTATTGTACAGAGGAAGTATGTCTAATGTACGATTATTCATTGTTTTGAGGCTAGGGGATAAAACCATCCATCACATGAAGATACTATCAGAGTTTTATTTCCAATTGTCCCTGACAGCATAAGTGTCCAATTAATAAATAAAACATATTGATAAAACATATCAATTTATCTTATTTCCTTTTCAAGTTGATTGTTTATATCTTTGGCATCAAGAAAAGACAACATATGCAGGAAGTTAAAGGTCAAAGGACAGCCCAAGAATGTGACGTTGGCCATCTTGATAGTACGAAGCTACATCTGTAATACATATTACCTTTAGCAATAAAGAAGAACCTGCGCTGTATTGATAGGAAAACGTAATTATGGATCATGTAAAACTGCATGTTTGCAAAGAAATTAAACATATAAATATCCAGTCAAATATGTCATACTAATTATTCTAAAATGAGATGGATTTGGTTAACTTTCCGGCTGGACAAACATAAATATAAAAGGTTAGACATTTGTACTATTTAAAGCGCAGCTTTACATAAATTCATCTATTTGATTATTCTCAATTTGCACTGCTTCGTGTAGTAGAATTACACAAAACGGATTTATCAATAAACATGGATCCCCAGAAAGGAGCTGTTTAAATAACTAAAGGGTCAATATGGAGTGAACAAGAGTTTGGACAAATAACAACTGGAAGATTTGTCCGAGTTTCATAATTTATTATGGCATAATAACGGGATGGTTTCATAACTAAACTTAAATGAACTACAGTTGCCGAAAGCGCAGCGTCATTTCTTAGTGTTTGCATTTAGCAAGACGAATTATAAAACTAAGTATTTAACAAACAAAACACACGGTCTATTGTTGACGATATTTTACTTTTCAATTGTAGTTGTTTTTTATAGTTTGGATTTTATTAATCGAAAACAATTTAAACATATTTAAGATAACAAAGGATCGATGAGTATTTAAAACATCGTATTGATGTCCAATATATATTGATAGCCAATATCTTAATTGGAGGGTTGAGGAGTCCTTTAAAACATTATTGTTGTTCCATAATTGTATCGTAATAGATCGTTTGTATTAGCTTTGCATTATAGTAATGTTTTATAGAGGTATCTTGTGTTTTGTAGATAGTATTTCTTTTCATAATGCTCTAATGTTTTAGATATATGGTGGCATTTTATGTTTTTAGGTATGGGGAATGGCTGGTTTGACGCATGGCGAGATGAGGGGGAGCCTACATATTATTCTGAGCTTACAAGTCCTGTTACTACGGATGTTGCTATCATCAGCGTCGTTTTCGCCTGCGCCATCATTTCAGCGGCACTCTTAGTTGCCGTTATCGGTACTAGAGGCACTGGAGTAAGTATCCATTTGAGATTAGTGATTTATCTTACATTTGCCGCTGTCAGATGTTAATTTATTAACCATGTCGATTTCAAATATTATGTACACTTTTATTAGTATTAGAATATTTATGATTTTAAGTGTTAGATTTTAAAATACGTTTGACTTATTTGTACAAGTTTACATTGTGCCATATTGAAGAAATTCGTGACTTGCTTTATATACTCAATAGTTAATTTAAATAATTCATCTTTTCACTCAGGATGTTTGGAGGTAATGTCATATATCTTATATACTTATACAGTGACATCATGATTAAAATCTACTTTAGAAAATCTACTTAGTTCATATGACCTTTATATTTTATATTTGTTTCAAGCATTGTTCTTGTTGACATGACTTTTTAATGAGTAATGACTTTGATTTCTACTTTTTAGAAATGGAAGACATTTATTAGAGTCATATACAGCTTATTTATAGGAATATCAATCTTATGTAAGTGTTATGTATTTATTTTGCGATTGTAGTTTGGATAATACGCCCAGAACGAAAGTCAATAAGACTCTTAGAACTTAAGATGGTGTTTTTCTCAAAATTAATTAATCATACCCGAAAGAACAATAAAATATTGATGAATTGTTTTTGAATTATCGGTTACTTCATTCGGCGCTTATAATTATTGACTTTGAGTCATTATGTTCTGCTGAACTGATATTTTATTGTATGTAATGTATGCAATTTTGGTAAAAATCGCAAATCTGAACTAGTATAACCATTATATTTGAACATTGACAAACCAAATGAAATAAGATTCGAACTTTAATATGATTAACTAATTCTTGAAAATGTTTTTTTTAATAAGTGACGACAACAGGACAAGGGTGGCTGAACTCTACTGTGCATACACATCACGAGTATATGATGATGACCGACTGGGAGATGATGTCCGATATATCTGTGAAACTTGGCCTGAACTGGGTCAACATAACGCTGTCAGGTATGTTGAGTTCTTATGTAAACATAAGCGCAGCTTTGGGGACTCGAACTGACCGCGACCCGCCGTATTTGTACATCTGGCAGGACAGGTCAATCAATCAATCAACTACATAATACGCATCCTGTAAAAAAGATAATGTTCAGCTATTGCGAAGGACAATGGACTATAAAACTCAGAAGAATCCCTCCAACTATCAATGGTTTCAAAACTGCGTCATTTGATGAGCGTGTGGGTGGGGAAAACGTACTCCATATTACGTATATCGCGTTAACATATAGTATGATGATGGTTTTAGTATCGTACATGTACTTATTGTGTTTATGGCTTGCTTGTAAATTTAAGATGATAGCTTTTGTGCTGCTAGAGGCTTTTTCAAAAGCTTTGATCCGACCATTACTGTCTGAACAACTATAATACACGTGACATTGAAATATTAGACAATTGTTGACCTTTTGAAATGAGAAAGCACAATTATATACAAATGAAAAACGCAAACATTTCAGCTGACTCATTTATACATGAAAATCACATAGAATCAATAAATTAAATACTGAAGTATCACTAAATTAAATGCTGAAGACAGTGCTTTGTAAATGGTTGATTTGTTGTCATTTTCAAATGTTGTGCAGTGGACTTCCTTGTCTTGTATCTGATGCAAATAAATTAAAATGTGCTATTTTTTTATTGTAGGCAGTATATCAAATAATCAATCAACCCAACCTGTATACTACAATGAGAGATTCAAATGGATAGGAGGTATGTTTTAAATATTAGAGGTGACCGGAGCAAAACGGGTCACTTTTGGGTGGTTTACAAGACCGATTGGTCATTCATCAAGCCTGTGACGTGCAAAACGGATCTTTTTATTCATCGATTCATTTCTTTAATTTGATAGTATTTTGTGTTTAAATACTGTCAATAATTTAATTGGCCATGTCTATTTCAAAATAATATTATTTTCTTTAAGTGCAGTTCCGAGGATTATAAGTTTACCAATCCTACTCTCCGATAAAACATGAACTATTGTTGCAGTTCTTAAATTAATGTAGCACAAACGTATAAGAAATATATAGCTCACTGGTGACATGGTTCCATATCACATCACAAACATGTTTCATTTCTGTAAATGTTGACTCTACCAATCTTACAGTGTCTCAACTCGATGAGGAGTACCACGATGGACTGAGACGTGGTCTTCCTGATGCACTGCTGTATATAGCGGAGTATTTCCATTCGGACCAGGGCGGTATTCGCTGGACAAGAAGCTTCCGAGAAGCTGGCTTTTATGTCTATATTTTATTATGGTAAATGATCTATAAATGTACATATTTATTTATGTAATCAGACAAAGGAGAGTAAAGCTTTAAAAACAGTTAGTCTTTCACACCAATTCATCGTGTACCATCCATCCTCAACCCCAATACACATCTATCAAGAGATTCGATGCGAGAGCATGTAGGTTCAAAAGTGATGATTCTGCAAAATGTATGAATGAATGCATGTAAACAAGTCGTGGATTATATGAGTTATAAATGTTACGAGTTACGAGTTCTAACTTTTCTAGAGGCTAAGGTTCAAATAACAGTAAATGACATACAAATTGTTGAAGTCCGATAATAAATCAATTCTATTTATATAGATCATTTGGCTAGTTTTGTGAAAGGCCCCTGTCAAGAGTACTCTCGCTGTAGAGTCAGTTCCTTGATCTCCATAAACATGACCAGGATCACGGCGAGGTGTTGCCCCCATATCTTGGACAATTGTCAACTCTTGGTTCATTTCCGATTACATGCACATTATCATTACATGTAATGGCCGGACGAAGGGCATCATAATTCATTTACTGATATTATAAACTAAAATATATTTTCGGTTAATCAAGGTCACTTACTTGCAAATCAAAATTATATAACAATCGATTAAAAGGAACAGTTGGCAACATCTAAATAAGACACAAACGCACATTATAATCAAATTGATAAGCTTATCCATGTCTCATCAGAAGCAAATATTTTTTTAATTTTAGGGTTTCGTTTGCGTTCTGGGTAATCTGCAATATTCTGTTGTGTATGGCTGTCTTTTATGGCGCCATCATGCTTGCGTTAAGTGGTGTCGTACTTATCACTGCCAATATCCTCTACCATATAAGCCAACCGACGAATGTGATGGTCATACCGTTTGAGGACGATATGATGACGTTTGAGTATGGCTGGTGCTTCTGGCTAGAGGCCGCCGCAGGTTAGCACATTATACGTCAACTAAATATGGACGTAGTTAAAATCATTTTGTATTTAAAGGTCAAAGCTAATAAGTTAAATAATTGATCCAACTGGCCCAACCTATTTCAACCGTGCCCGACTTTGCCCAGTGATCCATATTGCTTTGCAATTTTCGCTGTTGAAGAAATTTGGACCTCATCGAGTGAAAATTGATTTTGCCAAAACTATTCATTTTTTCGTAGAGGGAGAGCTTATCAATGTTAGAGTTATAGGATGATAATCTTTCTGTTGTTAGGTGTACTTGCACTGTTGGGTGGAATAGGGATTATGTTGTTCGCCGAGGCTTTCCCTAGAACTGCTGCCAGGTTTTTCCTCATCGATACTTCGCATTTAGACGAAATGGTTACGTACTCAATGGATCATCTAGAAAAAGATAAGGTCGGTATCTCCCTGGTTTTGAACGTTAACTTGTTTCTCTGGCACATAATTAACTAGTTCCGACGATTAACGGTTTTGCAGTAACCCTCAATGAGACTTTCTGTTGGTTTTTCTTCCAGTCCAAAACTGAATGGTATACAAACAAAGGATTTCTCCCCGAGCAATACTTAGAAGACATATCTCGTGTGAGAACACCGTCAATCTTCAAGGCGCCCAATTCTGGGTCATCTGATAACGATCCTCCATCGATGACTCTAGTTAATGAGCGTAAATTAAGCTCTCATTCAAACTACTCTGAAATGTCCGGATTAAGTCAGGAAAGCCACATCGGGGAGCAATATGTCCCTCATGTACAGAGTAGGGCAAATACGTCATCACTACCAGCGTCATCCATCGAGGCGGGGTATAAGGCATCAGCTAACAGACGAGCGTCTATGCACGTAGGGGAACTCGGTGCTCTCAACATCAAAAGCCTCTTGGACCCGGATACAACAGCGCCAAGAAGGATGTCTGTGCCTCATTACCTCCACCCACCTACACATCTACTTACACCGGACTCTAGGAGAAAGACACATAAACATTATGGATCACACAGATCCTTAAGCTCTGATATAGATAAGATTGAAGAAGGAAACTCCGAGGAAGAAGACCAGGTGAATTCCGAAGAAAGCGAGGCCATGAGCGCTCAAAATGACAACGAATCGAGGTCCGGTTCAGAATCAAGACGCGGCTCTAAATCAACCCTTGGGGCACCATCCTATGTTGAAACCAACGCGGACACTCTGTTTTAAAAAGATTCATTATACATAAATGATTGTTTTTGACTGATAGTATATTTTTATTACAAAATGAAGTGTGGTAAACCACAAGAAAAATATATCGAGAAATAACAGCATCTTATACCCATAAACAAGAGATAGGAATAAAGAATAAAGGACTATTTCAACTTTCATTTTGATATCAGTTGCTTGGTGCCAACTTTACTCCAGATTTACCAGTGACATTAATTATATTTTATATATTAAATTATTGTTATATTTAACACACGTACATGCAATCATTTTCATTTTGTAAATTCTCAGTTTTATCACATTGAGGTTGTGGTACCAAGACAAAAGCTTCGTCTAAGCTATCCTCCACACGAAAGAGGTCATCAGCATCTAAAAGAATAGATCAATACTCCTTAGTAGCCATGCGTTTGCAATGGAGGATGGCTATATCCACGAAGATGCTTCTCATTGTGTAATTGTCATCAATCTCATTTTAGAGATCAAGGTGTTTTAATCTTACATTGACCGCATATTTCATAAATCACAAAGGGCGGTAATTCAAATACGCTTATGCAATAGAAGTTGTATGAGATTGAGTAAACTTTCGTCTGACGCCTGATCTGCATAAATACCATTACTCAATTAGTAAATGAATATATATTTTACTATAATTCTGTAAGAACATATCGCAATTGTACATAGAAATTGGATTGTTGATTATCAACAAGATAATAGGATCACAGTATTTATAATTACTAAATAAAACGTTAACAAGCTTATATATGATATGTGCTTCTTTTTTATTTGTTCATAATCTTTTTATTAATTCCTAAAAAGCCACGTTACTAAATGAACCAAATGTAATATTTTGTGAGGAAAGTACAAACTAGAATCAGAATTAAGATATAACACAATATATAATTGAGACATTAGAGAGATTTTGCTTATACAGGCAGATTTCCACAGAGCACCCTTTCTTTGGTGATGAATCCGTTTACACCTATATTATAAATTGTCCAATGATGGTTCCAGATCTCTCTGACAGATATAACTAGGTGTCTTAATCTGCAGGTACTAGAAGATGCGGCATTATTGTTAAATTGTTGATTTGAATATGCCTTAAATGATCCCACCTCATTTTGCATCGATTAAAAGAATTCTGGTGGGAAATACCTGCCTATTTTAGGTTGAGAGAACCAAACAAACCAAACGATTTTTTTAATCTGACTAATATCAATGAGCATAAGACAATTGCAACATTATTTCAAGTTATGCTACCTTAGCACCACATCTAGTGCTTCAATTAATGTAAATTCACTTTGAAACATCAACATGTCCAATAGGTTTAGAACAGATTTTGGTCCGTGATTGTGAAATGATTCCACGTTAACCTAGTCTACATGTGATATATTTCCAGTAGACTCTCCAAACTAGTTAAAAAACGAGTTTTATGTCAAGCAAAATCTTTACGACCTTTTAAGTTCAAACATATATCAGTATACTTTTTACGAAAATCTAAGAATTCGCGAACGAATAGTTGATGCTGACACACGTTTTTCGCCAAAAAGGTCGTAGAGATGCTGCCTACATCTTGGGAAATCATGGGAAAAGTATCCCCGTAGCTGCGACATTTCGTAACATTTGAAAAGATACTCCACGGTGCATTTGGACTGTTCTACAGAGTGTCTCAAAAAAATGTTACACTTACAAAAAGTTCAATATCTTTCATAATTTTGACTTGTCCCCTAAAATATACTTTGGATACCAAAAGACAAATCTTTCCCGAATAATTTGACACCATCAGATTCAAAATCTGTCCTTGATTGGCTCCACATGACAGCTTTTAGTGTCCCATAGTAAAATCTGACTTGCGCCAACTTCTAAACTTTCTTCTGAGCAGAAGCTTGACCATTAACTCATGTCATTCTGTAATTTTCCTATTTGTCTTACATATGGTCATTGGGTCTATTCGCATAAACATGTGGTCCCCTCGACATGTTGAATGTGAAAGCAAATCTGATCATGAGGTACCTTTGAGCATGCGAACATGCATTGTAATATCACACTGATTCCATCAATTATTTTTGTAGAAGTTCATTTAGGTCAGTTTGTGATGCTGTAAAGCGCTTTAAGAGGCCCTCCAAAAAATCAAGGGTGTAAAGTGGGATGGCCCTGGGGGCCAATCAATTGGGTAATTCAATGCTATCTTTGATTTCCAAAGAGTTCTACCAAACGATCTGCCACAGGCCTTTGCACCATCCTGTTACCATCATACGTAACGAAATTGAACCTTTGACAATGAAATGTTGTGTATCTATCCAGGAAAGAAACAACTGGATCATTGATCATATCAAGATATCACTGTCCACAGCATTCACACCAAAAAAAGAATTAACCATCACATGTCCAACCACTGCGAAGTTGGCGCAAATCAGATTTCACACGCCTCTATAAAATCTGTCCTGTGCAGCCAAATTTTGAATCTGATGGTGTGGATTTATTTGAGAAAGGCTGGTCTTTTGGTATCTAAGTATATTTTAGGGGAAAGTCAAAATCATGAATGATATTGAACTTTTTGTAAGTGTAACATATTTTTGAGACACACTGTAGTACGTTAACTGGATTTTTCTAGTCAAACTTTTAGAGGAAACATCTAATACACATGCACTTTCTCTGGTTCTCCACTTTCATGACGTATTCTCTGCCCAGACTCATCCCACCACCATCCCTCATCAGCGTCGACAACACTCTCCGCTTCTAGCAGATGATCCTCTTTGTGCAAGTTGGACATTTTAGAATCATTACCATTCATTTGATCTAACTTTCTTCTGTATCGAATTTTCTCATCTTTGCACCTCAATCTGTTCCTATACCACGGTAGGATATATTTATCCGTAATTATAAGGAATAAGACAATCAAAATAAATGATGCAAAAATCAAGATCGGAGCAAGGACATATAAAGAGAATCCCTTTCTTTTAACAGGTTCTGTGCTTGCAGCATATATCATCGCAGTTCGTGGACCGCCATCTTTATAGAAATAATGAGATTCGTAGTAAGATAGAATTTCATCAAGTTTTTGATAAACACTCATATTCTGCATGGTTATGTTAGTTTTTGTCACATTGTTGTTATGAGTATTGTTGTTCATATGAGTGTTTCTATTGTTGCTGTTTGTTGGAATGTAGTTTGTGATATTGTTACTTGTGCTGTTACGCATTGATAGATGGCAGTTGGAGCTGGTCAAGGTAGTTAATGTAGAACCATGCGTAAACACGCACTGAAAATAAAGAAATAGTATAGTTTCTTAAAGTTCTTGAATCTAACGGTAAGAGCTATGATACCATGGTGGACAATGATTTCTCTTTGATATGCATGGCCCAATATAGCACCGGTAGAATACTAGAAAGACGCCACGGAGTAGCTATTGTCAATTGCAGTTTGATTTGGATCAGATCATATTAACAAAACAAGTAACGCAACTTTGAAGTGTCCTGGTGAAATGGGTTTAGTACAAAATGCTACGATATGATTGGTTGAAATGATGAATATTCGATCATCCTGATTTGTGCAATAACGTACCGCAGATGGACAGCTTTGATAAATTAGGCCTACATGTATATATCCCTAGACGACTGTCGCAAGGGCAAGGGTTTGGACCATACCAGGTAGGTATGATACAAACTAGGAGAATATTCCTCGAGGTACAATTTTCTCATTTACACCAGGGTACTTACGGTTTTACTATTTGTTGCATAGGTCAGTAGAGCATAGTCCCCGCAGTGTCCGAGTTTCCATTTCTCGCTAAGTACGGCATTTGCAAGTTCATCTGTGGGTATTTGTTTTGACTTGACTGGTTCCAGGGGAAATCGGCCATTCATTTTGAAATCATCGGGCAGTTCTTCATATGACTCCCTCGTATCGATATATTCCTCAACATCATTTCTAAAAGATATAATATACGAGTGTGTATACAAATAGTGGAAAGTCGTGTCGGATTGTTTAAACAATATTTAAGTTATGACAACATCAAAAGTTCAGCCTGAAAAGTATTATCGAAATGGTATGCAGTCACACGAAAGGTTTAAACATACTCTAAAAATATATGAAGAATATTATATTATATTGTATTGTTATTTCTTTGCAATAAACATTTCAAATCAGGAGAAAAAAACACTTTGACCCATCGACGGGATCTATTCCACCTGCCTTTCGAGATTCGTGGAATATTCCTTGTCACTGAAAGATGCACCACGTCGGTCCCCATGCTAAGCAATAACGTTCAGCCGAAGCTAATGAACACAGATGAAGATGCATAGGAAATCCTAAACAGAAAAACTACTTCAGTATCATTACCTGTCTACTGATATTATATTGCTGACTAAGATGACCACGAACTCATAGCCAGAGTAGGGCGTATGGCTGTTGCATTCATCCGCAGCACAGGAACAGGTCGATGACATGTGGATTCTTTGGAGACGTCTCTGTATTGAAAGTGCTTGAAAAAACAATGTGGTATTTTATAACATGATGCATTGTTGGTTTCTACAACTATTTTATATCAGAGTATTGGTATTGGAATTCATTCTTGAAAATGGTGCATTAAAAGATGGGAAGGGAAATACTCGTTATGCGTATATTCATTAATTGCTTGGGATGTCGGAATAATGTTTTCTAGCAGTGTCATATTTTTCCGTTTTTCCTCTTTGGTCATTTTATACATTTACCGAAGATAATAAACAGAACTTCAAATGCCACCTTTTTGATGCTGTGGTTTTAATGTATGATTTCAAGTCAATATTTTACAAACATTAGTTTTTATAAGTAAATATAACATCACAAACCTTGAAAGAATAAGTAGAGTATAATCAACATAGTGTCAAATCAATAACCCTCCATTCAATCAAAAATAGACTGCTTAAAGCTTGTCATGACATTTACCAAATATTTAATGATGACAATCTGACAAAAACCGGTGAAAGTTAAACACCTACGTATACTTTTTGTTTATCACGCAACCCATGGGGATATCGTGGAGGATATACTCGTGGTATGATTATCTGCTCATCCACCTAAAAGGGCTTAACCAGCAGGCGTTGCCTATATCACGTGCACAAACGTGAGTCAGTATCATATATTTAAAAAAATCCAAAACGTTACGATCGTGGAAATTCTGCCTAGAACTTGACAAATAAGGAAAAAAGAAAAATCGTAACTTCGAGGTTCCGACATTTTGTTCCATCTGATTTAGTAACTAGTTTGGAGAGTGCAGTACCAGTGTATATCAAGATTTTCAATCATTACCATAAAATGGCGCTTACACTATATGACTTACATGTTAAAATTACCGTATGTCCGCTGTGACGGGGTAGGTGATAACTATTTGAATCTGTGGGTCATATCACGTATGAGTGATAACGGCATCCTCTATAAAAACTCACTTACCGCAATTCTGTTTGTCTGTAAGAATTTGTTGTATTTACACGAAAGAAATGAGACAGCAAAAAAGAACAACCTTCCATCTATATGAACCCCTTTTTTTAATTACCTTCATCGTGTTCAAGGATATGCTCTGGGTCACAAAAATATGAAGGAACACTTTTCACTCCTCGGCACAAGAACCTCGTCTTTGGATTTGGAAGATTCGAAGTACTCCAAAACGTTTGATTTGGTCGCATCATCGCAGATGCTACTGGCAATGTTGTTAGGTATGAAATTGCCCATGCTGTCATATAGGCAAATATGCATATGTTTTGTTTTGTTATAATTGGAGTCATTATTGTCATCGCAGCATTTTATCTCAACGACCTCGGTCTTTTTCTTGTAATCTGTAAAGTATAGAGAAGTCACCTATTATAAGGAGAATGTAAATTATCTGGCCAACAGGTCCACATCGTCTTCAAATAATAACCAAGAAAAGTTCCTGGTTTATACGACCAGACTTTGTCATTAACAGATTTCAATACAATTATTGTTTCTAAAATTAAAATGAACTAAACATGAACCTCAGGCTAATATAGTAGTCTATTCACAACTTACCAGCTTTCAGGTACCTTGTGTCATTGAGTGCCCTCCATTAGATACACGCTACACTACAAAAGACAATGCATGTAGTCTAAATATATATATAATATCATTATCAGAATGATTGTTCGGTTTAGCCAGGTATTTATCTGCCGCCAAAGTATGAAGTGGTCGTTATCTCGAATCAATAGAGATTAATTAATTACTAATGAGTCTGGCGTGATGAAGATTCTTCGATACATTCCTAGTCCATTATCTATAAGCATGATCTATAAGTATATACTGTAGAATGACACTTGTATGTTACAAATTAAAGTAGTCCCGATGGATCTAGAAATCTGTGTAGTAGAACAGATCTCTAGTAGATATATTATACATAGCTTTACATTTACCACCACCCACCTACACATACGTACAAGCAGATAATTGTGGTTGATTATAACTGCATGTGTTAGTCATACTCATACAGATAACTAACACCTTGACAATTTGATACAATTTAGTGGTTGTCAATATGACTTCTCAGCAACTCAAACCATATGGTTTGTTATCAACTCAAACTCAAGACTTAACATCTACTCAAACTCAAGACTTAACATCCACTCAAACTCAAAAGAAATGGAATGGCGTTAAAAGTCATGACTCCATCAAGATTGCTACAGACACTCGAAGGTTGTCAATTTTGATTTGTATTTAATTCGCTTCTCTTTGAAAGCTAGATGTGTCATCACTAGAAAGAAAGTGAATGTTAATTATAATATCGCAAATTATTGTTATAGTAGTATTGCTAGTCTTATAACAAGCCTGTGTGGCACCATTGGTTGGGGAAATTGCTATTTATTCTCGTATATCCAATCTTCTTACAGTTGTTATCAACAAAACGACATTGGTGATCAAGGAGGATCAACCGACATGCAACACAGGACTCCGTAAAAGCAAACCCTCGTTTCGTTCTTAAGCTACATTATTGATCTGCTAAATGTGCTAATATAATCTTAAATCCATTTCGGTAATTGCTTCTATAGAATGAAGTAATGTTTTCATGTGCAACCCCTTATGTTGGACTTCTTCACGATCTGCCCTGAGTGTGTATATAGCTTTTCATGCAAGAGGGCTAGAAACATTACATTTTATAAATATTATTATTATTAACAAAAATGACTTTACTGAAAATTAAAGAAACTTGACGAGAATAGGAAAATTCTGCAGAGAAGTTTTCAAAGTATTTTAATTTTGCCGCAATTTCTAGCAAAGTGAACAGTTACACTCTTATATCTTTCAAGGAAATGTAATCGGTTTTTTCATTTGATTATATTAAGGTAGGGCTAGTGGGGTCCCCTGGTGACAAGGCTGCACTACTACTGTATAGTGTGTTATACAGGGTGTTCATAGAATATCTTTTCAATTCCAATTGAAAGTCTATGTAAAGTGTAAGGGGACTTTATTTACACCCTGTATTATCATCAAAATTGATTTGTTATAGTAACTATTTGCGTGATGCAGAAACGAGGACACACTGAATGGGAATACTAATACCCCTAATATGACTGGTTTGTGTTGAATGACGTACCGTCTATAAAGAAGTCACGTTACAAACGACGTGACAAGACAAGACAAGACTTATTAATGATGTATTAATTATTTCTCTATCAATGAGGGTAATTTTGACCAAAATCATAAACAACATAGAACATAATTTCAATGATGCTAAATTGTAAAATAGCCTTTACATATCTAATTTCTAAGATGGCTAAAAGCAGATTCGTTTACCAACGTCAATACACAGAATGAAATATTACACCTGACATTTATGTACAACCTTCTCACCTACCTGAGAAGTCAACAGAATATGAAAAAGAAATTACTCCATTTTTCTTTTCATAGTGTTCAAATTCCGCATGGCCTGGCTTTGTGAGTGTCTATTTTACTGTACGATACTCTCCCTGTTGCACCTCGACCGACCCTTATTAAGATATAAATCAAAACCTCTAGCACATCAGCTCGTCGGTCTCAAAGCCTTCTCTCGCCGTTAGCATGTTCGTGTCGTCAGAAACCCGAGCCTTGCTCATCATGATTATTAGTCGTCCAAATTAATAATTGCACTTTCGTATAGTATCGCCAGACCCCGATATAGCAATAGAAATCACCAGGTGAGTTATATTGCTCTACGGTGTATTATATCCTTGACCCACGGGGTGTACTGTAGCTCTATAGTTCATTAATCGTGCATGTTCCACGGGTCTTGGATGAAGTATTTGTCCAAGGCTCTTGTGAACATATTTGTAAAGTAACTAGCACTGGAGTACTCTCTAAATATCTAATACAATTTATTAAGTTAGAATCACTTTTGTTAACTAGATATATTTTGAACTTTGACCAGATTTCAAGTTTCTCCCTGCTGTTTTAGTCTGAGAAAAGAAGTTAAATATCATCTATGAATAAATATATAATCCAAATACCCTCCACTTGATCGTAAAAACAATCGGCATAATTCCTCACATAACTGTATAGATTATATAACACTACAATAACAAACCCCGTGTAAACGATGTGTTAATCCACGATACATTACCCGGTGGAACAATTGCTATTTAAAAGTAGCTTAATCTTAATTCCATTGGAGACTACAATGTGGATTATATTATGAGGTAATGATAGATTGAAGGAATGTCGTTCAAATTCTGAAACCAATGAAATCTTTGCGATCTTTAAGGAGTACAGCTGGTCAACACAACATAGTAATTAAACCTTCAGTACACACCTCCTTTAAATATAACAGTTATGTTGACAATACACCCCCTTTAAATATAACAGTTATGTTGACAATACACCTCCTTTAAATATAACAGTTATGTTGTTGACACTTCTTTGGATGTTGCTATATTAAGGTCAATAAATGATTAAAGTTCAAATATCAATTGTCGCACTAATAAAATCTATTTTATGTTAACATGATATGCTTAGATTAAATATATGTCGCCGCGCCACCACATATTGTCCTGGTCTCCAACTTTTTATGTGGACGGTGTTCGGCGTTCGGCGGTTTGTGTTCGGCGTCTGTGACAAATGGTGGTGACACTTTGCATGCTCATGCCCTGTTCTCACTTTGTTGCGTTCAGCTAATTACCAGGCATCTTGAAAGAACATGACATCTTCTTTCCTATTTGATGCTGAGATTATAGTACGATTGCAAAATGAAATATGATGGGTATCAGACTTGTTACCAGGTATTGCAGCCAATACACTGCCTGGTAAGCCACACCCTATCCATCTCGGTCTGTGATACACAGTGAGAGAGATGCTTTTGACATCAGAACGACAATGCACTGGTACAAACCAGACCTGTGTTTGTTGATATCATGTGTTTGCCCTGGGAAAGGTTTCTTTAGCAAACTGCTACTCTTAAAAACTGAGTTCTGTATTGGTTTGTATGCTGTCATTAATTTTAATGATGTATGATTACATACAATTAAAGTAGAAGTTGTTCCATAATGGAAACAATCGTTGATTATTTTTAGCAACCTATTATTCTTATTGTTAGAAATAAAATAAAGTGCACAATTTCAGCTAAAATGCTGAAGCCAATGATGTCATGATGCACCTTGATATCCCAAATAATACCGAATTATTGATTGGGTTTTCTTAACTGCTATGGAAATAAAGTGCTGCAAAACGTTGTGATTATGTGACAAGAAGACAAAACAATTATAGTCTACCTCATTACAGCTGTTTCTGAAGATCCAATCGGGGTCCAAATTCCTCGTGTCAAAAGTTGAACAACCATATGCGTTTCTATGTATTTCAATGTACTATAGGTTTTGTCTCATTTTTAGTTGGGTCACCTAATTTATGTAAACATGTATATATAAGTTCATATGTGTTTTCCCTCAACGATGTACTAGTCCTAGATGGCTCAGCTCTAGATGCGATACATTTCATGTCTGTAAATAAGTCTGCGTAGTTTTCGTTCACATTTTCATGTATTGGATTACATTCCCCAAATATAAATTTTTAAAGCGCTGAAATCACATCGTTATGCTATTCTTTGGATTCCAGTACATGCAGTTAATAGTAAATATCTTTATCATTAATGTTCACTTATTCATAATCACTCAGCTGTATAGAGTCAGCTAAAGAGTACTTTAAAATGGGTGAAAGGAAGAGTCAAATGTCACCAGCATTTGCTATAGAAATAATCAAATCACTGGCAATATACGAATGGGTTCTTTTCTTTACTGTGATACCAAAACACTGTATTATTCAGATGTTTTTAGGAGAAAAGTTGGGCTCTTGGCCCCTGCAAGTTGTTCAAACCTTCCATGTAACCTTTTTGTAAAACATGCATATTGTTCTCCCTTCAGTTTTCGCGTGACATGATGATATGAGGAATGTGATGTGATACGAGGAATACATGTCTCGTTGTTGAGGGTACCATTTCTTATAAATTTGAATGAACATTAGGATGAGAGAAATATTTGAGATGGATGCTGGAGAATGTAATAGTGGTGTACTGCAAGGGTTTATCTTGGACACCAGTATGTTCTATCTACTATCTATCTACATTCATGATTTTATGGATGGGTGTTCCAAAGGGTCAGTAAAGTTAGTCTTTATATTAGTACTGTATTGCATTTTTCTATAAATTCTCCTGGGGGAACGACACTTATTACAGTACACAGTAAGCATATATTTCCACTGTAGTCTCAATCTTGGTTTTATGATATGTTGATGATAAAATCCTTACCTATAGACCTGACCATTGAAACGATGGCCTCGAAAAACGCAAAGGGTATTAAGATGCACTGTGAAAAAGACACATTAAGAAGCTTATAGTAGGAAAGAAAACCTATAATAGTGAAGAAAAAAAGTTTCCTGAAAGGGAATATGCACAATGACAAGAAGCTGTCAAGGTGTGTTTGTATGATTTAAGTCATTCCTCAACTGACAACACCGACACAGCGGTTAATGATTGATGCCAACGAGATGAAAAGGGTCACGCTAAGGTAAGACATTAACTATCGAATATATCTACGGATTACGTTTATGAAGGAATAACATAGCGATTAGGGATGAATATCTCTGAATACTTTATACGAATAAAAGGAAATTATGATTGTGGATGATTATATAATTATATAACTGTTGTACTTTACGGTGTGTAGACGGTAATTGTATAAGATAACATAGACTAAGTGAAGACTTGACGATCAATGTACCATCGAGTCAAGGTATGAAACATGAAACGTATTGTTTTGGAACTTGATCGCTATTTTCAGCAAAAATCAGGAGCCCAAAAACTAAATACCTGTACGTGGACTATTATTCGTGTAGGTTAGAAAATAACGAATGAATCCATTTCATATGTGCACAAAACTTTATATAATGATGTTATATAATCATCTTGATATAACGCGTAGTGATACGAGTGATACGATAATATGAGACCGTTCATTAAATGTATTTAATTCATATCTAGCAATTTACTCACTTTAAGATGGTGCCTCACATCATTCTGTTGTCCTTGACGTTAGTTGCTAGTCACGGACACGTGAAGCGGCAAACATCCCTTGAAGTCCAATATCATTCTTTGATAGAAGCAATGCCACTACACGCCTGTTTCAGTAAGTATCAGCGAAGCAAAGCTATGAAGGGCAACATTTGAGAAAACAGCACACATCATGTTCGTCTTTTTGTAAATTCTAGGTATTTGGAAAATTAAAATCATGAAAGCTATAAACTTTGGGAGTCCAAGATGTGACCATGACCAGTGACTTCATGATAACGTAAGGTTCTTAGACCATGCCGTTTCAAACATTTACTTAAAAACTATTCTATACAATGGGTAGACTATTAAACATATTTTGAGGAACAAGTATGAGGTTTCTAAGTGGAAACAAATGCAGATTAAATCCTTGTAGCAAGAAAACATATTGAAAAAACGCTAAATATAATAGAGCCTGTCTTAAATCATTAACACGTTTAACTACGCTAATTTGGTCGTTCACATCATCATGGAATTAATTTTACAGATTACTAGTTCTTTCATGTTCTATTATCGATATTACATTCGCAAATGAAGTCACAGATACCATACTAAAATATAATCGAAAATGTAATCTCTGCCCAGCAAATATCTCATCCATGTGATTGACACATATGAGAGTCATAATATAAAATCCTATTCAATTCGAATGGAAAATGAACATAATATGTGATTGCTAGGAATTGAATTTAAAATATGCTTCATCAAATAGTTGAGGCCTCATTCACATCCATAACATTTCCAGAGTCTTTTCATTTGGTCTGATTTCGCTTTTTAAGAGAAAACTTCATAGTAGTACTACTAAGTCTATGGTCCTCACTGTTCGTTTATTCGTGTTCATACACGTTCATACAAAAGAGCACATGAATATCATCGACCTGAGATGTATGTCCAACGTTATACATTTAGGATGTCCATGGGTTCAGGGAAGTGACTGTTGTAGATATATACCATACGGTAGTGAAGACCCGTCGAACGAAAAGGAACACTTCTGTCCTCCTGGACTTGGTTGGAACGTTGAAGTTTGTACCTGTGACTGGCCTGGGAATATAGAGACCGGCTGTGATACGAGTGCATGTATACCTAAGCCAGTAACTACTCCAGACCCAGGTGCACCAACAACTACAACGAAGAGGCCAAAATTGAAGGAATGTCCAGCATTGAAGGAAAGTACGCACGACACTTTTTGGCGTAAATAGGGAGTTTAAGCTTGCATATAAAATGGAAACGCCAACCGTATGACCAATCACCCATGTATAAATGCATCGATTAAATATGTACCGTTCACCTTTAGGTTGTGAAAAACATTGCAAGCTTAAACTCCCTACTATCTTTGGAATGTGTATTTTGCATTTGACTTCGATTATAATGAGACAGCAACTGTACACCTACTGTATATATTTATGAGATTAATATATGGTCAGACATCGGTTGTTAAATGTGTATTCTCCTCAGGTTATTCTCCACCTTTCTTTTGCTTATTCGTATGCGTTTTTACAATTAAACAATTGCATTTTCAGATGAATGCTGTCTCCCAGATGTTGGACAATGGTTTACTAAGCTTAACGACACACATTACAGACTGAATGACGGTTACCCCCAAGGTTGCCCGGAAGGGATGCTTTTCAGTCATATCAGCTGTTGCTGTGAAGGTCAAGCCATAGGTACGTCATACCATTAACTATATACAGAAATATAGCATAGTGTAATTACATGTATATATTTGTGTACACATACAGAACTAGATAGTGTGTAGTATAAAATGTTTGTAATGGAACTACTGATTTTGCCTTACATTAGGATTATATTGGTATTGGGCGAATTGTAATTCATTTATGATAATGTTATATTCAAAAGTAAAGTATTACCATAAATACCTTTGCAGTTCCCAATCCTTGCAAACATTGGACATTTGATCGAGTAGATGGAAATGAGTACATTGACTCATTACAGCAAACGTTTGGACAAAGTATCCAAGCGAGCATTGTAGAGGGACACACTACTTCGAATAAAGGTGTATTCTTGGAAGAAAAAGATCGAGTGTCTATCCCCTACTTTTCAGGAGCACATTTTGGAAAGAAGTTCAGTTTAGGTATATTTAGGCTATGTCTATTAAAATATTTCAACCGATGGACCAGAGGTTTAATCTTGATTTCTCTCCTAAAGATGGCTACATAACGCAAAGATGGCTACATAGCGAAACTTCAAAATTAAGCATGAGGTAGTCTCTTTATGTTTATATCCCTTATACACATATACCAGGGCTGTCAATGTCAGATATTTTTCACGATTGAAGGTCTCTGGGTGAAAAGCTCTTCTAGCAACATTGGCAGTGTTGTTGTAAGCAACGGAAACAAACTGACCAAAGAATCAGTTGCCTTGGTGATGGTTGGTAATACAATAGCTGGCGGAATAGCAACAGAGCTTGAAAACCCACCTAATACTTATGACATGGCATTTTATGTAAGTCACTCATAATACACTCATAGTACTACATTTGTATAAATATTTGTATAAATAGAGAAAAATTCAAATGATATATCCACCATTGCCAGCACACAACATCTATTGTAGCTTCTGCCTTCTATATTCAGAATCTTCGTGGAGATGGCTGGCATTTTGTTGCTCTAACATATAGTGACCCAGAGTTGCGTATATACGTCGACCAACAACTGGCCCATACGTCCAGTCAAGGAGGTAAGTTATGTATCATTGTTGGTATCAAAGAGAAAACTATAGATGATGATTAACAAACGATATCCATTAACCAGATTATCAATGTAATGTACTGATCTATTTTACTTTTCAGGCAACATACAGTCTAACTTGTGCCAGTTGAATATTGGCGGAGTACAGTCACCAAGCATCAATGTCGACGAGGTAAAATAACCGTGTACACGGTTGTGTTTACATCATTCAGTATAAGTCGTTTTGATGACATTAACACAATACAGAATAAAACAGATTATTTTATGAAAAATGGTGACCTTGTCCTACGGATATTGAGATTATGTTTCACAGCAAGTTCAGATGGCGATACTGCATAGCACATGCTCAAGAGGTCGTGTATTTCAAAATCGAATTACTATGATTTTTGAAATGATGCTTATTCCGTCAATCATATGAACTCTACAGATCAATGTCAAGTATAATTCAATGAAGATTCGTCATATCAGATGTGATTTCAAAATCAATGACATTCTCATTTGATATGTTTTCAGTTGGCAATTTGTGAGTTTACCTGGGATGCGTCTGACGTAGTAAACTTCAGAGACAATTCAATAATTCCTCAACTTGTACAACCCATTGGAAAATAAACTAGCGACCAACATTGTGTAAACCTTTTGCCTTGAACAGTTCATATGGAGATCAAATACAAACAACGAATAATTGTAAATATTATTTAAGGACTAGCTGATCCTAGTTATCTACTGCATACACATTGTAGTAATCTTCGCATCGACATCATTTGTGAAACTGGAGAAGGCAACTGAGTCATTAGAAACATAATCAATTTTACATTTGACAGTAATTGTTTGGAAAAGTTACAAAATATTTGTTACAAACAAAAATAATGGAACTTTTAATTCACTTGAATCAAATATAGAATGGGATAAAAATAATAGAAAATCACGGAAATTTACCTTTATTCATTTTTATTGCAATTTTTCAAACAATGTATTTAAGAGTTTATATAAGACATTTGAAGAAGAGTATACTCTCATATAACATTGTCATTAGCTGATTGATGACGATTGCTTACACGATGGTAATAAGATGAAGACATTATGGTAAGATTTGACACATTTAACTCAAAAATGGATCCATAAGAGTTGATTTTAAGAAAACTAAAAATTAAATATGGATATATATGGAAAAGGCAGCTCAAGACAAGATTAGTAGATTTTCTTATTGATGAATACTCATAAATAATGTTTAGAAATCACGATGATGTTATGGTAGCATAAAACGAGAAACTTGTGGCACAAAATTACTGTAACTTTCCCATTACATATTACTAACTGTACTATCATATTATAGATGGTGATATTAATATCAATACTGGTGATGGTTTTGATTGGGTTGGGTGATGGGCTTGAGAAAAGACAAGCTCCCCAAAATCTGTTTGCACTCCAATATCGAGGACTCATTGAGAATATGGAGCCAAAAGCTTGTTTTGGTAAGTATCATAGATTCGCTGTTTTTGTCATTTAGTCAATTTCTCACTCTTGACAAGATGTATTAGGGAGCTGATACTCTGAGAAATGGAACAATACTATGCCTCTTGTGTAGCATTCATTCAGGACAACATAGTTGTTCGATTCCCAATGGCCAACCTATGCATTAAACATTCTTCATTTTTTGTAGAATGTCCATGGATTCCAGGAAAAGATTGTTGTCATTTTGTTCCCCTGGGAAGTGTGGACCCCGAGAAGGAAGAAAGACAGTGTCCCCCTGGTCTAGGATGGAACCAGGAAACATGTAACTGTGATTGGCCATCCCTCATAAAGCCAAAGGGGATATGCGAACCACTTTATACATGTAACATTAACGTGACGACAGTCAACCCAGGAACAACGGCTGTTGCACCGACATGTCCCCCACTCTTTGAAAGTAAGAAAAGGAAATATAAAGTGAAGTGACCGAAGAGTCTTTGGACAGATATTTTGTGTAAATGAAATGAGCATGCGTTAATTCTAACACTTTTTGGCTATACCTTACAAATGATAATAATGCACCAAGCCTCTGCCCCCGTCCCCTTCTCTCTAATACAGGATAAAGAGAGGATGGATTGCATGGAGCTTGACCAAGATGAAAATGTATCACTGGTATTTCAGATGAGTGTTGTATACCAGAGACTGCAACGTGGTATTCAAAGATAAACGACACGCACTATAGAGTAAATGGTAGTTACCCACAGGGCTGTCCTGAAGGGATGAATTTTGATGACATAAGTTGCTGTTGCTTAGGATATACAATTGGTATGTATAAAGTAAAGAACAAAGTCCCAGGCGTTAGTAAGTACTATGCTAAACTATTGTTGAAGTAAATATTTTAAAAGATATATCGGCCCTTTCCATAAGATAACAATGGCGTCGAAGATGCAACGTAAATACATGTACATGGAGACGATGAGAGTGATAGCAACAAAAATGATGAAAACAAGGGTGATGAAGAGAAAGAGTTGTTTTGTTTATTTTCAGTTCCCGATCCGTGTAAGCTTTGGTCGTTTGACAGGGAAGCAGGCAACGAATTCACTGACTCGATCCAACAGACATTTGGCCAAAATGTCCGCTCTACCATAAGTGATGGACATCTTGGAACAGATAAAGGGGTCTTCTTTCAGAACCAAGAGCGGATCTCTATACCATATTTTGCTGGGGCATACTTTGGAAAATGGTTCAGTTTGGGTAGGAAACGTTCTCATGTTTCCAATCATTCCTTAAGTAGTCAACGATTGCATAACGATTGACCAAGATACTATTTTTGCCAGAAATATATCAGATATTTCATAGGATATGACATCATTATATTAAATATTGTATATCATTTACTAAAGCAAGTGAGAATAACCCAGTGAAATTGTTGTTTATTAGGTCTTTGGGTTAAGAGCTCATCCAATAACTTCGGGACAGTTGTGTTAAGTAATGGCAACAGAGAGGTCAAGGAAACAATCGCTCTAGTTATGGTTGGTAACAGTATAGCAGGAGGTGTAGCAACTGCGAAGGAAGACCCTCCTAATACATTGGATATGCCACTTACGGTAAATATAAATGATCAAATGAATATATCAATGTTCAATAAGTTTGGTTTCATTGGTGATACGTTGAAGACGTTTTATTTTTTATCAAAACATAATGCTGGAATTAGAATATTTGGAAAAATATCCAAAAAGAAGAATACCTCAGTTTTGTCAGTCCTTATGAAATTGAATCATAGTATCATACTTCGAGTTTATTGCATTACTTTGTTTCTGGTCTAAAAGCACAACATTTATACTTTTGGTATTCGAATCAGATTTATAGCAAAACAAAATAACTTTAACCGGGAAAACAAGAACAACGACACTGCTAACTCTACGATACATTTATATTACTACTAGGCTATGGGAGATGACGGGTGGCATTTTGTGGCAATGACATACGATGACCCCATACTCTCTGTATACATTGACAATAACCCACCACTTGTATTTGAGCAGGAAGGGGGTAAGCATATGAATTCTTGTTCACATTTCTTCAATATTCGAATGTACTCTGAAATCAATTATAATATATGAAACTTTTTCAGAAACAATAACGAATGGTTTGCAATATATTTAATATCTTATGGAGTAATCAGTCAGAATCTTCAATCCTTTGTTCAATTCTTGTTTTTCAACGTGAACGTGAAAATGGAATGGATTCTACTATACACTGTATAAAGCAATATTGCATGAATCACACCGTACCTTTAATTGAAGAAGAAGATGATGATGATCAATTCGTTATACACATATATATGTTTGCTTGAGTGTTGAGCTATTTACACGTTCTGAGACATGTTCTGTTTGTTTTAAAATAGGGGGGATACTTTCCAACTTTTGCCAGTTGAATCTTGGTGGAGTTCAGTTTCCAAATTTCAGCATGGATGAGGTAAGTCTGTTTCACAATTATGAAAAAGTAAAAACTGATTACTTCTTTGAATAGATAAGACTACATGAAATCCATGAGAATGAAATGGCTTCTTTTTGGTCTGAATTTGGGCTATTTTGGATAGCTTTGAAGGAGGTCTTGACTTTTCGGAACTTTCTTTGGAAATGCTAGAGTATCGGGTTACTGCATATATATTTAAAAAATACATAAAATCCATTGCATTTAAATTATATGGGAAATATTTGTAATCCTCAATACTGAGGGAATAATTGAAATACAATTCAATGCAATTCAATGCAATACCATGCAATGCAATTACAATAAAATAGATAAGCACACACTAATCAAGGGAAAGATCAATACCCGGTGATTTCAGCGGGAAGTGGCGTTTCGTTCATTGGATGAGCTGCGCGCGCACGCATAAATGTGATTATCCAATATAATTAGGGGAGGGCTATTTGAAGTAGTTTTTGGTCTCAGGCGCGACCCAGGGCTGTTGTCTTAAGGACATTTCGTTGAAAATGAGCCATTCGGCTGATAATTGGTAAGAGTTTGCGATCTTATAATGTATAACTGTTACTCAGACACATATTTTGACACGATTCTGTTGGAAATAAGCTTTGAACCGAGAGATATTCACGATTGATATGCACATTTTTGATTGTGCCATTGCTTTTCTATTGCACAACCCATGTATTGATAGAAGAAACATTAATAATACAGATTGGTTTACCTTCAATACATGGCAGACACTACATATCGGTCTATTAATACCAGTTTGTGCCTTAAATAGTTTTATATTTCCATCCACGGCCTGGAGCCTGGGTGTGTTTGTCTCTTATGTGTATGCTTGTGCATGGACTTCTAATCACTAGCAGAATTTAACATGATGCAAACTCGACATTATAACTCATGCTGTAACATTTTGACTTCGCTGGAAAACAATAGGAATTATTTTTCTTGCCAATCAATCATGAATCACAATCAGAATTTCAGAATGATCAATCAGGCAATGATCCAAATCAAGTTATAACATTATATGATATTCAGCAAGAAGTCCGGTAGAAATACAGAATATTTAAACATCAAAGCTGAAAGTTAAAAGCTAATCTGTCAATTTTCTGTCTGCAAAAGAGCGTCCCAAGAGCGTTTACATTTGACACAATAACAGACTGAGACCTTGAAATCTAGGATTCCCCAGGAAAATATGACGTCATACTAATTAGCATAAGGATTTCCCTATTGGGGTGGGTCGAGCCTTGTTCGAAAACACAATCCATAAATACATGCTAATTTCTAAGGAGATAGGAAGTGTATAACGTGTTTATCGATTTTGTTTAAAGATTTAATCAATTATCAAATTGTTTAAGTGGATAAAGTGGTCACACTTGCTTCAATTCATAGCGAAATCGACGGATAGAAACTGACCGAATTCCCGATATCCTACCCCGTATTACTGTAGGCTATAAGCACAGTGACCTACAGAGGGCGCTATCACAAACAAGTACTGGACGAACCGATAAATTCCCGGGTATTGTAACGCCCTTGCACTAATCGTATACTACTATAACTTTAATCTTTGTTGATGGGAATTTCATATTGTAGGTAGTGCCATCTATTTTATCGAATTTAGTTTATACTGATTTACTCGAAGCTTGTCATGAATGACTTTAAAACTTCATTTTAGCTTTGTATCTGCGAGTTTACATGGAATGCAACGGACGTGGCAGAGTTCAGAGACAATAAAGCTGTACCCAAACTTTATCAACCATCTACATAATATTGTAAAATGTGTTATTTCTTGCACTTGATTGTACTTGACTCTCCCTTTGCTGGAACCTCTGAGAGAAGGACTATAAAAAAAGTTCAAATGAATAACCTATGTTGCGAATGGACGTTGTTGTTGTTGCATATTGTTGTGGCACAAATCTTGTAATATTGATCTTGTAATGTTCGGGCCTATATTGAAAAATATTCAATTATTGAAATATGTGCACTGTTGCATAATTATTTCTGTCTGGTCAATTGTATCTATAGGATTTAGAAAAAAAATGGTAATGAAACTAGAATCTACATTGCTGTTAATGTCATTTCACCACAAATATAAATGTTGCCTACGCTGCCCAGGGGGAAATTTTATCGACACTGTGACAAACAGAATTTTTAAATCGATTATTAACCGATATTAGAGTAAGTAAAACTTAATTTTATATTCAATTTCGTTAATTTGTCGATTAATTATAAAATGTATGACTTGGTTGGGACTTATTATATCCACGTAACCATTTGATTGAGTATTTGAAGTATATAGGTTTACCCATTACGGAGCCGCCATCTTGAAAATAAATCCATCAAATTTTAAATGTTCAGTTTTATAGCTGTTAACAAGTATAGTTTAAATTTTTGAGTTCATTTTGTATGTGAATGGAGAAGAATAAAATGAAATACATGAACAGTATGGTATTCAATGGACTATATCATTTAGGCAGATATGTTACGGGGTTGGATACTGTGCCTCTTGGTAGCATTCGCCTATACAGAGGATGAGCATAATATCAGAAAGCGACAAGCCCCTGGTAAGAGGCGTAATCTTTTAAATATAAAGTTCTATGAATAATATAAATGTAAAATGATATCAATATATATCAATCCATGCTGACCTAAAACATAGAGATAAACGTTTCTTAGATAATCTATTTGTTTATTTACAACATCTTAGATTTTGCCATAAGATTTGAATTGCTAAACAAGGTGTATTGTTTTAACCACATGAGGAAAAAGGTTATTTAAGCTTTGATTTACAAGTATTTTATTTTTATATTTTCAGACTTTATAGATTTTGTCTATAATATCTTAGATGGAATGCCACTTTCATCCTGTTTCCGTAAGTACATCTTGCTGAAATATTATCCTCTCTGTATTTTAATTGTAACTCAATCTTAAAGAGACATTTGTTGATTGCTGACGGTGCATTCATCGCGGAAATCTCGTTTGTAGAAGTTAACTATGAGTCACACAAATGCATTTAATAAATATGTAATAAACACAATTTGAAATTATATTTTATTTGAAATTTGTTCATTTACTGTAAATATATTACATATACTGTGGTAACTACCTGTCACCTACGTGCATTCTCTCCTTAGTGAACACATGACAATTACTTGTATTAAGGTAAATGTTATTTGATATGGAATTGACACCATCGTTCATGCCATAAAGGTCAGAGACTTAGTGTGTGGATAGAGAGATATAGCATGTCAAGCGCTCACTCACTTTGATTAGAGTCAAGTAATTTAGAATATGGCCATCTCAAATTATCGCTCTGCAAATAATTGAAAAAAGGTCATCAGGCGGACATCTACCATATTGTTTTGTAGAATGCCCTTGGATTCAGTCAACAATAGACTGTTGCCACTTTCTTCCCCTTGGAGGACCTGAGTGGCAAACAACACGTTGTTCTCCCGGCCTCGCCTGGAATCCCGATGTCTGTAACTGCGACTACCCAGAGAACGTTCCATTATGCAACCCAGGAAGGGACTGCATCTCTCTTCAAGAACCAGGGGGTAGTGAGATAGTTCTACATATGTGTCAATCAAAGAAAAGAAAAATCAACAGAACAGTATTGCCCATGTTATAATTGCTTTCCGTCTGTTCTAATAATACATGTAGAATACTATTATACATGATAGGAATGTTAACACAAATTACTTTTAAAACACAAATCAGCTTTTCATTTCAAAGGTTACTGTTTTTAATTGTATACTTCCATTTTCACTGCAGTTTCAGTTAAGTTTTATAATTTTGAAATTTCGAATGCAATCGAGCATAATGATCTTTTATTTCTCTAGTACCCCTACAAACGCCCACACCTGCGCCGTCATGCCCCTTAAATCTCGCAGAGGGTAAGTTCACATTATTTGACATTTTGAGATAAAATCGGTGGTCATTATAGAAGCATTTTATTTAATTTAAAAGTGGCCGTATAAAACCGAAAGGCAGCATGAGAAGACGCTCCTCAATAAAAAAAATTATAAATGTATTTGAGGTCCAACTTTTCTGGGCTACCAAAGTATTCTGACTTATGCCCAATTATGGCGACCCAAGTACTCTGAGTCCACTTGAAAATTCACAAGGGAGAGTGACAAAACGTGTTTTAAGGAATGTTGGCCCCTTTTCTTTTTGAAAATATGGGCCCATTTTTCAAAATTTTAACCATTTTTTCTGAACGTATATCGGGTGGTGTCCCCATCAGTACTGATTCATTTTTATTGAAAGTTTCTATAAAAGTAGCCTAAGGGTATCATTGCCAAGTTGTACGAATATTAAAGAGATCGGTTACATAGTGGGCCCCCCATAGTTTGTAAGAAATGACTTATTCAAAAATGCATGTCAAAAAAACAATATCAATGGAATTAAAATTAAATTGCCTCTTATTTCAGTGTAAAAAAAGCTGTTTTAGCAAGCACAAATGCTTAGCATATCTTTCCATCGATATCAAGTCAAATCATCGTGAGACCTACACATCTACCTTCGGTCCCCAGTTAGATATGCATATCTCCCTCGGGGTAAGCCTGGTGTGAAAGAAATTATGGTCCCCCAGGGATTATGGTCCCCTTTCTAAACGGCCCTTACTGGCCCTGATTGTGTATACGATAATAAGGGAAAGAGGTCAACAGAAAAAATGAAGAGTAGGACCATCGTTTCATAGGACCCCCTACCATTTTACACCTGAATGCTTTGGTCAACTCAGAATACTTCGGCGAGAGTTGAAGAACTTGGGTAGCCCAGAACACTTGTAGCTTGACAGATGTATGCCTCCACAAACTTTATTTACTTCCCAATGAAATATCAATTTGTTCATTTAGATGAATGTTGTCTGCCGAGAGTTGGTCAGTTCTACAAAAAGATTAATCTTACTCACTACCGGATAAACAATGGTCTGATTCAGGGTTGCCCTCCTGGGCAGGAGTTTAGTGAATTTGACTGTTGTTGTGAGGGACACGCAGTTCGTAAGTAAGCTTCATATACCATAAAGGAAAAACTGAAATCAAAAACAAAAGATCAGCATTCAAATTTATTCAAAGTTAAGATTCAATTAACCATTTGGTATGGTGCTTTGAAATCTCCCCGAAGTCTCATTACTTTCCACTAAGGATTCACATTTTTACTATTTGTGACATATTTGAATTCTGTTTCTAGAAGAACTTTGATTCGCACATGCATTTCATTTTATTCAATGTCTATTTTAAAATATTCGATGAAGAATGGAAAATCCATGTATGCAGATTCGAGTATGATACCTCTTTGACTACATTTTGAATATATCTAATGACGAAAATCAAGATCATTTCTTTTTTTAGCATCTAGTCTATTTGGATCCCGTTTCTCGGGTCTACATTACTCCTTATTTATGTGGCTATTTGGCTAATAATCTTAGATCATGGACGGAACGTAATTGGCACACAGGACCTGGTCTAGTATGGCAAGTGATTTTAGACAGTCTTTACCATGAATACTTTCTCAATTTAAATAAAAATATTGGCAATCGAACAGGTCGAAAAATTATGAATAGGGACCCCATGTCAACATTTGTTTTGAAATTGTTGGACCTAGTTACACAAAAGAGGATCTTCATTTTCTGATTTTATTCCATGAAAATATTATTCAACAAGGGGGTCTAAAATTTCTTCAAAAGTAGAATGGTATTGAAAGTCCAATTTCGAAGATAACGATTTTCGATGACCAAAATTATATTGAAAACAATGGAGAGCTTGAACGTTTCCTTTGGAAAAAATAACATTGGAGATGTGACTTTTAACTTCATCGCATTTCAATACCCATTTCCTTTTCAGAAGTAGTGTAGAAGAAACTTTTGGTATATTTGAATTGAGAAAAACAAGATCCACTTCTTAGAAAATAAGCATAACATTTTTTTTAAATGTAACAAGGTCGGGTTCTAATCTATAATGTTTAAGAGATATGGATTAGTATTTTTAATATCACGGAGATTTCACATGAATGAAAACATATTGTTTTATCAAAAACCATTGGATTTAAGGCCAGAAAGTACTCATGGTGATATAAATGACTGTCCAAAATCAGTCGCCTTAGCATACCTGGTCCTTTTAAGATTTTCCCTGTTGTGGTGTCCATGTGATAAATAAAGTATACCTAATATCAAGTGCGACTTTATTTTAGTGCCAAACCCGTGTAAGTTTTGGACTTTTGATAGGAAGGTTGGAGAGGAATACATTGACATAAAGCAACAGACATATGGTCAGTCTATACGCGCTGAGATAGGCATAGGGGTAGACGATGAAGGCAAAGGCCTTCATATGAACCCTAATACTATGATGACAATACCGTTCTTTGCCGGGGCGCATTTGGGTAAAAAGTTCTCAATTGCAATATGGGTGAAGTCGGATTCGAATAACATTGGCAGTGCTGTGATAAGTAACGGCAACAGATTAAACGATCCAACCGTTCTCTTGATTATGGTCGGGAATAGTATAGCAGGAGGTATTGCAACACAGGATGAAGAGTTCATGGATGCACTTGATTTACCACTCACAGTAAGTGCCGCCGTGTTCACACCACGATCATGTAATATATTCCCAATTGCTCGTTATTCTACGTTCATCGTTGAATTATAGTGTACGATATGAAAATCCAAAATTAAAAGCCAGCCGATATTTTCATAATGTTTGAAAGAATTGACAAAAATACTATAAAGTACACTCCCTCAATAATAGTAGCAACCGGATGTCATCTTCTTGACTGCACTGGCGGATCCAGGAGGGGGGCAGAAAAAAATGTTGAGCCCAAAAAGATTTAGGTCCAAAAGTTTTGTAGTGCCTTTATTAATGGGCAGAATGGGCCTCAAATTTTCAAAATGTGGGTCCAATTTCGGGGCCCAATTTTTTCTGATTTGAAATAAGCCTCTCCCTTGTTGGCTTCTGGATTTGCCAGTGGACTGCGTGTGATCGAAGGCACAGACACCGGAACATACCTGTTCTGTCTGATGCTTGTGTGAAAGTCTGTTCTATTGGCGATTTAAGAAATCCATCTTTGCCGAACAATCGTAATAATGGAACGAAATAAAGATCCAAAGATTAACATATTAACTTATAGGTGGAGGCGTCAATTTATTGTCTTCTTGTTTTAGAGCATGGGAGGTGATGGATGGCATTTTGTGGCAATGGTCTACAACGATCCAATTCTTTCCTTCTATATCGATGACCAACCAGCTATCCAATACCGCAATGGTGGTAAGGTGAACTCCAATATTATTCTGGGTGGGCCAAAAAAGTTCATGTTTTGTAGTTTGCTATGACTATTTTGACAATACATTGATTTCGAAAATGATTTGTTATAAAGCAAGATCAAAAGTGCTCTAACCATTAATGAACATTAATGAATACCCTCGACATGGGTTGCCACGGTTACCATAGAACGCAGAATATTAAATGTAACGTGTTGAAATTTGTTTTGTGTTTATGTCTTAATTTTAAATTAACTTTCTGTGAGAAAATGAGCCAGGTTCATTAATGGTTACAACAGTTAGAATGCCTTTGGTCTTACTTTATGACCACCCTGTAGATGCTGGAATGACTTCTGTAAGTAATTAAATAAATATATTTTCGAGGGTTTATTAGGGTTTTTTCAGTACAGTCAGACTAATATGGAAGCGTACGTACTCAAAATATCCGAATGTATTTCTTGACAATTTGTTTTAATGGTCTATGGAACTCAGGTAAGTACGTATACTTAGCTAATCTTTCTGACCAAAAATAAACATTTCAGCCATTCATTTTCACTTAGAATTTCGGCCTGCCAGTTCTGTTTTTAATATAACCTTGAAAATGTATTTGTTTTATTTAGGGACCAAATACAGAAGTGATTCTTAAAGTTTGAATCCACGTGCTTACAATTATAACTTTCTCGTCCAAACACTACTGGAGACATTCTTTTGAAATGGATTGGATAATTCTGATACTTGATATTTTGGCCCACATTGTTATTACATTGTATGATTGTTAATTTGCGCCAAAAGAACGCTCGTAATAAATATATTAACACCTTTTAGATTGTCCAGAACATCAGAGGAGAATTGCACTGTGACATTTGTAATAACAAATAATGGTAGTGGTGCTGTAATATTAGCCATCTTGTTTGAACTTATTTTGATGCTCGATTGGTGTTCTCTTTCATGCCTTAAATGAAGACTCACACATCACGCTGTATGTTCTTCTAACCGGGGCCTACATATACAGGGTGGGCCAAAAAAAGCCACTTTTTTTCAAGACACTACAACTTTTTTATTTTCCAACCTACATACCCCAAATTTTGCAGTTATATAGTGCCAAGCGTTCTTAGTCATAATATAATGTAACAAGTCATTCAACTTGAATTATATTTGATCTAAAAGGGGAGTTCAATTGGTCCGCCAGCCTAATTTATGATATATTTTAGTTTTAGTCGCCTTGCTGAAATTGCAGTGTCAATGAATTGTTAGCTAAGTTTTTTCGACCTGTCTTAATTGCCAGCTTTAGTTGATCAATTTTCTAGATTGGGTGACTTCATACAATCTCCTGGAGACCTTCCCATACCCTATACTCACTGGGGTTTGCATCAGGGCTATAAGCATTGCGATCATCAGGCCGTATCAGTTCGGGAACATTTAGCAAATTATGCTTATTTCTCATGGCACACCACATGTTTAAGTGAGACGCTAGTGACATATTTTATTCAAGTAAAAGTGTATAATTTATGATCCATGGCTATATAACAACCCCAAGTTTCATTTGGTATGCAAATTATGATTTAATATCAAAAATTAAAAAAGTTATAGCATTTTGAAAAAAAAAGTGGCGTTTTTTTGGCCCACCCTGTATATATATAATAATTATGATGATAGAAAGGTCATATTCACTGACAATACGTTGTTTCTCCAGGACCAATCTTGTCCAACTACTGTCAACTGAATATTGGAGGTGTTTTGTTCCCAGAGCTCAACGTGGATAACGTAAGTTTAATATTGATGAGCCATCATGTTTCATCCATTCACGGGAGACACTAGTATACAAGAAGAGTCTTTGTACAGTGTGTGCACCCTCAATCGGACAGAAAGGTACCCCTAGTTTAAATCAGTGCACCAACGTTCAACGAGCTTTTCTTCGTACTAAGAAACTGAATTTCTCAGTAGGGATGACAAAATGTTGCTTCATACCATGCTTTAAATGTCATCAATATTAGGTGAGTCATTACAAAAGGTAGGAACGCGTATCTTTATCAAAATTATTTTCAAAATTTCTCAATAAGATGTTTGAAATGAGAAAATTTCCTAATTCCTGGAAACTAGGGAATATTATCCCATGCCATAAAAAAGTGACAAAAACCTTGTTTCTAATTACCGTCCAATAACTTTATTAGCTGCCTTTCAAAGGTAGCTGAGAGAGTTATTTTTAAAGGGATGTTTGGCCATTTGCTAACAAACAATCTTCTATTTAATTTTCAAAGTGGATTTCTCCCAGGTCACAGTACACAACACCAACTACTAAGTATTCTTGATTTTTTAACTTCTAATATGGATAATGGTAATGATGTTCGTGCAGTCTTTCTTGATATATCGGCCGCCTTCGATACTTTACCCCATAAGCTATTATTTAAGAAGCTACATGCATACGGTTTTGGTCCAAATATAATGCTACTTATTGAATCTTATCTTACCAATCGAAAAGTAAGAGTGCTTATTGACGGACATGAATCTCCATGGTCAGCCAGCGACTATATCAATTCGGGGGTTCCCCAGGGGTCCATCTTAGGACCATTGCTATTTTTAGTTTACATAAACGATTTACCTGATGATATTTTAAGCAAGTGTTTTCTGTATGCAGATGACACTTTTCTTTATCAGCCCTTCAGCCATGATAATATGCCTGAATGTATAAACACCCTCCAATCTGATCTAAATTCTATAAACAATTGGTCTGATAAATGGCAATTAAAATTCAAACCCTCTAAAAGTGATGATTTGACATTAAGTAGCCCAAAAAAGAATGAAATAATAACCCCTGACCCAAAATTGGGAACTGAATCCATACCTAGGTGTGTTTCACATAAACACCTTGGCTTTATCTTTGACTCTAAATTATTTTTCAATTTCCACATTACCCATCTTGCAAAGAAAATTGATAAGCTTTTAAATCCACTTAAAGCATTAAGTAGAAAACTTAGTGGAAACCATTTAAATCTTATGTTCAAATCTTTTATCTTACCACATTTTGATTTCTGCGACATCCTCTATGGATGTGCAGATATTTCCAAATTAAAACGTATTGACCAACTCTACTACAAGGCAGCTCTGATTTGTAGTGGAACTATATATGGGTCATCTTCTGAAAAGGTGCTCAGTATTCTAAATTGGCCTAAACTAGAGACGGGGAGGCAGTTTCATCGACTAACCCTCATGTTCAATGTCCAAAATCAGAAAGTTCCTTCATATGTTCAAAACATATTTGATAAATATAAGAGACAACAACCTCCTCTCTATTTGAGAAATCCAACTGAATTTGTCTTGCCCGCTAAAAGATCTGTGATATTAAAGAAAACATGCATTTTTACAGCTATCTCAGAATGGAACAAACTACCCCAACAACTCCAAGTGATAGACAACTTAAGTACTTTCAAATCTAAATTTACACTTCTCATTTATCCAGAACTTATCATATCATCTACCTCATTGCATTTACCTAGACCAGAGAAAATCAGTCTTAATAGGACTAGAGTCGACTTGATTTTTCAATCTCATTTTCATGCCCACAACTTTACTCTAGCTGATACACCAAAATGTAAGTGTGGATTCAAAAGTGAAACATCCAAGCATGTCATCTTTAACTGCAGACTCCGTAGGACCCTCCTAACTGACTTCGAAATTAAACTAAATAACCTTGAAATCCAATATAAAAAGAATTTTAAGACCCAACAAGAGAAATTGAATTTCTTTCTTTTTGGCAGCTCAAAATTTAACTACGCTACAAACATAACTGTTCTTGAAACTAGTGCCTCTTTTCTCCAGAAGTGTGTAAGTGTCTGAGTGTTAACAGCAATTATCAAACCTTCTATGCTTAATTTACTCACCAATTTGATTCACCAAATGGATTGTTTGTTTTTTTTAAAATAAATTTTGTTAATTAACCCTGCGACTTATAATGATAAACAAAGTCGCCTTTTTGGAAATTTTCTTTTAACATATATTATTGTATTAAATAAAACATGATAAATAAATAAAAAAAGTCGCGCAGTTAAGATATGATATCAACCTGATGCCCGTTCATTCTCTTATTTGACCATCCCTTCTATGTCGCCCAAAATTGGGGAAATTAGGAAATAAGACTCCACTCGAAGCAAAGGAGTACATCATGACCACGTTTATCTCTGCCTGGGATAAGAAACGCGATCGATGAACTTATGATTTCAAAGATTTTTGCAATTTAGACTTATGTTGAAACTGACAAAATAAGTGATGATCCTGATGTGATTGAACAGTCACAGCGACATAACGGAGATTGTCTGTATTGCAAATTGATCGTCTACTAGTATCTTCCCATCCTGGCTTTTAGTTAGTTCTAGAACGACAATTTCGTGATATCTTTTAAGTATCAATTGTGTGATACTTATCATAGATTCAGAGCTAAAAAGTAAAAAGTAGTGATATCTATTAATAGCCTATTATGTTATATATACCATTGTTGTCATACTTTTTGCCGTATTTTAAAAAATTTATTTACCTTTTAAGGGAGTAATTGTATATGTACAAGTATTGTATATTGTATATACAATTACTCCATCTCGATATCTCAATATCGTAGGTATTTACCTTTTAACGTGTTGTAAAGGTTGTGGTATCTTTTTTGTTATGGAATAATTGCATGTAATACCATCATTATTAGAGTTTTGACTTGTTATACTTTTTCTTATTGTTTGAGAGAAGATCCAACTCCAAAATTAATGACTAACAAATGATAAGATATTAGAGACATTATTTAACACGTTTTTGTCCACGGGGACATCACAATTATTTTCTACACACCTTCCTCCTCAATCGGATAAATAAAGACCATTGCGCTGAAACTAGTCCACAATTTTACACTTTTAACGTTCACGTTCTTCAAAACGATGCTTACTTTAATCTATATAAGCTATATTTTACTTCTGACTTAATCAGATAACAATTTTATTTTACAGCTTGGGATATGTGACTTTGATTGGACAGAAGCGCAGGTTGCGGAGTTCCAGAGCACCAAGAATATCCCTACAGATCAACAGTTCACAGTCCGTGGTTAAAACAGGCCATGGCACAACTATTGACACATTGCCTGTAGAGAGGAATAAATTCGAGGAAATTGATATTAAACTCATGAAATATTCAGTGTGCTGTGACGTTTGTATTTTGAAGTAATCAGCTTTGATTGGTATATTGGTTTAAATTGGATCCTTAATCTAATATCAAATAATTCACGCGTCCAAGCAGAATCCTCTTCACCAACGAATAAATCTGGAATACAATATTTTGGTATCACACGATCATTAATTAATACAAGTTGAGGAGCTACTGAAAACACTTCTTCGAACCGTTTTATTGCTTGGTTAAATCAAGCGAAGTATCGACATGGAGAAGTTAAACTCCGCAGTATTAATTGGTCAATAACAACCAGCAGTGAACATTTTCACCCGACAAACAATACTCTGGGTATAAAACATTTTATTTTGTTCATATTCCAAAACAATATCTTCTAACGTGTTAGTTAGTTTCGATATCCTAACAACATATTTGAGTTGAGTTTAATTAATGTGCCATTTATTGTTGAAACTATCAGTCAAATGTGTGGTTAATGATTTGGACGCATTATTTGATGACCTTCGATACGATGCTCAAAATGGTTGATTCAGATATGACCGTTCTCTAATGAAATCTCTCAACCAATCAGAACGCAGTATAGCCGTGCATTAATTCTTCAATCTCCTTACATAACACGAACGACCGTGATCTATGTATTGTGTTGTACTGCGTGTCACAGCAAGTTTGGTTATTTCATGGACCTCATTCATTTTTCAAAAAAGGTTGTTGGTATAAAAAAAAAGTTGAATTTCTCGCTATTATGACAGTGATGGTCTCATTAGACAAATACAACAAAATACACTGTATGATATATCAAGTAAAAGTCATTTAATTTCATTTTATGCCTTTTTCAAGCTGATGGATATGTTTGCTCGTGACTGAATCGCTTTTCAGATGTACGGGTTTCTATTTACAACATTATTTGATTAATAAGGTTATTAACCCTAGAAGCCCTAAGGGGGGGGGGTCAATATGACCCCCCCCCCACTGTTAAGTTTTTTCCCCATAACTTTTTATTGGCATCGGGTAGGATCTTCAAATTTTCAGTAGCTAGTGCTACAGATATAACACATGTTTTCTGAAAAATTCAGCAAAATTGCACATATGGTAATTGTTTAATTATGATGTAATCATCAGCTCCAATAGACAAAATCGGAAAAAGTTAGCACTATTTCTACAATACTGTTGCCTTTAGAATAACATTACGCAATCTTACATCATCGAAGTTGTTAATGTTATAACACCAAGTTGTAGAGAATTCAATTAAGTATATTTTGGGAAAGTTTGAACATCCTAGCTCTACTAGTTTGTTATTAATTTATTATGATGTAATCATCAGCTCCAATTAACAAAATCGGAAAAAAGCTAGCACTAATTCTACCATACGTGTTGTCTTTAGAATAAAATTACGCAATCTTACACCATCGTAGTTGTTAAAGTTATTATACCAAATTGTAGAGAATTGAATGAAGTATCTGTTGGGAAAGTTTGAACATCCTAGCTCTACTTATAAAAAATTTACAAGGGGTGCCCTTTTGACCCCCCCCCCCTTAGGTATTTGTGTAACTTTTTTTTACCTTAGGGCTTCTAGGGTTAAGAGTTCTTTAAGTCATTACCTTATTCCGCCACAATGACAATTGTGACCAAAACAAGGCAGTAATTGACAATTTGTATCGTAATCTGATTTCAAGGATATGGCTCGAAGTATTTTTCCAGGAGATATTTAAGACAGTGGAATGCGGTTGATATAACTAATTAATTTAATGTGATATCACGCATGTCCTCAACAATAAAAACAAATCGCAAAGGATCTTTTTAGCATCGGGTTAACCAATACAATATTTAAATAAAACCATAAAGATTTTCGTCTTAGATCAACACTACAATGGTGTCAATTCAATTAATGCATCTGTATAAGAGGAGGTCGACAACATGCTTGTACTTTCTCCAATCTCTTTTGATTATATCAACTGCAACAACATCATCGCGATGACAAGTCCATTGCTGTGGGTGTACACTGTCGAAACTTGCAGTTATCTATTTCTTTAGAATTGTCTTATTTCAAATTCCAAACGGACGGTTTGTCTTTCAACAAAGTTTCAGGACGGAAAATCCAAAATGACCAACAATAAAAAGCAGATTTACTGATTTTTTACAAAATTATGTCTCAGTAAATTTATTGTTAACAGTGGGTTTTTACAATGCAGAACTCCTGAACTTATTTTAGATGTTACTGATTAGCTTCCTTATAAAAACTCAAAAGTATAATGTTAATAAAGTGAACATGGCCGACAGGAAGTAGTTATCAAGTGCCTAAGAGTTGTCCATGAAAATTGAAGGTAAAGCAAGGCAGACAGGCAAGCAGTGAATATCAGAGCGGGAGATACACAACGGGACCGGAGATATACGAAATTTGGATACAGGGTTTATCCGAAGGGGGTGGGGGTGCGATGGGTGCGCACCCATCGCACCCCCTTTGACACCCCCCCCCCCCAAAAAAAAAATTGACCCCCTCCAAAAAAAAAATTGACTCATACACTTTGAAAGCCACTGCATATGTAGAATCAATGAATTCACCTGTGTTAATACATCGCTGGCCGAATCGCTGATTTTAAATGCCCATCATTCACGTTTTTCGTTTGACAGTGAGCTTACGGATTAATGGGGCTCCCAGGCCTGTTGGAAAAACTGTTTTCAGATTTAAATACGATAGCTCTCTTCAGTTATCGTGTTTCATTTACCTTTCTGACTCAAGCAGCAGACAATATTAATTGGTACTTGTTTATGAAAAATCAGCTTTGAAAGCAGGAAGAAAGTTCTTCTTTATTGTTGTGTCTTCGGCGGAAACGTTTAATCGATTTAAAAAATCATTCGGTAAGAATTTTGACGACTGAACATATTTCCTTCCGTCGATAATCCGACAATTCACTTGGAATTACAATTGCCATCAATATTGGAATTAATAATTGCATCGATAATAGTACAATAACGTCATTTCGAAGGGCAATATAGTGAAATATTGGACCGAGGGCCAAATGCTCAAGGTCCAATAGTTCACTATATTGCCCGCAGTTATTAGTTCATGACCAGGACTGAAACAGCAAGAAAATCTTACGCACTGAACGATAGATAATTTCCCGGGGAAAATTGCCGGTCGTTAAATGCATTTTCGACCGGTCTGGAATGCTATATTGACCGCCACTATGACGTCACATATTGCTCAGGTCGATATAGTAAAATGAATGCCTTCTAAACCACGGTGTAAACTAGCACTAAAACCCCTAGAACTCGCCCGGCAAGGTGGTAATAATTGAAACTTGACAAATGAGCATATTATACAAGATGAAGATATTACTCGTATATACCATGTTTCATCTGAAATTATACTTGTTAGTTAAGTAATATTACGTCGGATTCCCTTTTGTTTATAATTACCAAGTGTAATTGCCTCTTGTTGGCTCTTGTAATTGTTAACAGAGTAACAGGTACAATAAAGGTACAAGGTACGAGTACAGATATTATCACAAACTGACAACTCAAATCCCCGGGAAAATAATTACGTGTCCATCAATTTATTTTCGTTTAGTACCAAGCTTTGCCTTCACAAAATGAATATTTGAACTTATGGATGTTTAGGAAAGACTTTTATGATAGCCCGGCATTGTATACACCCTCAGAAATATATAAGGTGTATGTACTGGGTTGTTTTGGATATTGGGCTTATCCAGAGGAAGATGTGCATATCTACCCGAGGGACCGTAGGGAACAGAGATAGATATAAAGTTTATGTACTGGGAAGTTTTGTATACAGGGTTTATCCCTAGGTAAATATGTGTATCTCCCGAGGGACCGCAGGGACACATATTTCCCGAGGGATAAACCTGAATCCCAAACCGACCGTACAAAACAGATGTATTCCATACCTACTAATGTTCTAGGTACATTGTACCTCATAAAGTTCCAAAATTCAAAAACGTACTTAAGGTACGCATTTTCCTTGTCTTAAAAAGTAATGTTTGGGTTTTTATGAGAGTTTCAGACTCAGATATTTTGGAGCAGATCAATGAATTGATATTGAAAAGTATACGACATTAGTTTGAAATATAATTTTTATTTCGTAGTTAAACGTTTTACTGAGTTCACTTTTCAGGAGCGGGACCGAGATGGATCCAGCATGTACATATCCATCCCGGTCCCGGACCTTGGCGACAGCTCCCTAGAAACACTATACGTATACTCCCACTCGTTATGTACCTAAAACCTCAGTAGGTATAGAATACATAGAGATTATCCTATATGAGGTTCAGGATATTGGGATTATCCCGAGGCCAATATAATATATTTGCCCGAGGGCCGCAGGTCCCGAGGGAAAATATATTATATTGGCCAAGGGATTATCCCAATATCCTGAACCGACTATAGGATAATATGTTTATCCCATACCAATCTTGGTCATCTGGTTCACATTGTTCAATCGTGGAAATATTTTAGAATATTCATGCCCAGTTTTGTTTTCTTGGCCGTGGGCGGGTTTTCCTGTTCCCTCAAATATTCCCACATTTATTTTCTCGAATTTTTGATTGATTAAGTGGATGCTCCTTCCCTTTTTTAAACCATCAAACAGATCCCGATTGTCTGTGTTTTCTCCATTGTCGTGTACAGTCATTACACGAACGTTACAAATTATGAACAAACATGCGAGCGGCGATTATGACGTAGCGGGCAGATATACTATATCTGCCCGCTCGGAGCGGGACGTATAGCTATATCTGCCCGCTGATGAAAATATAAGTTTTTACAAACCGGCTTTATGTACCTGTAACACGTCCAAGTATGGGATAAATAGAGATAATCCTATATGAGGTTCAGGATATTGGGATTATCCCGAGGCCAATATAATATATTTGCCCGAGGGCCGCAGGTCCCGAGGGAAAATATATTATATTGGCCAAGGGATTATCCCAATATCCTGAACCGACTATAGGATAATATGTTTATCCCATACCAATCTTGGTCATCTGGTTCACATTGTTCAATCGTGGAAATATTTTAGAATATTCATGCCCAGTTTTGTTTTCTTGGCCGAGGGCGGGTTTTCCTGTTCCCTCAAATATTCCCACATTTATTTTCTCGAATTTTTGATTGATTAAGTGGATGCTCCTTCCCTTTTTTAAACCATCAAACAGATCCCGATTGTCTGTGTTTTCTCCATTGTCGTGTACAGTCATTACACGAACGTTACAAATTATGAACAAATATGCGAGCGGCGATTATGACGTAGCGGGCAGATTTACTATATCTGCCCGCTCGGAGCGGGACGTATAGCTATATCTGCCCGCTGATGAAAATATAAGTTTTTACAAACCGGCTTTATGTACTTGTAACACGTCCAAGTATGGGATAAATAGAGATTATCCTATATGAGGTTCAGGATATTGGGATTATCCCGAGGCCAATATAATATATTTGCCTGAGGGCCGCAGGTCCCGAGGGAAAATATATTATATTGGCCAAGGGATTATCCCAATATCCTGAACCGACTATAGGATAATATGTTTATCCCATACCAATCTTGGTCATCTGGTTCACATTGTTCAATCGTGGAAATATTTTAGAATATCCATGCCCAGTTTTGTTTTCTTGGCCGTGGGCGGGTTTTCCTGTTCCCTCAAATATTCCCACATTTATTTTCTCGAATTTTTGATTGATTAAGTGGATGCTCCTTCCCTTTTTTAAACCATCAAACAGATCCCGATTGTCTGTGTTTTCTCCATTGTCGTGTACAGTCATTACACGAACGTTACAAATTATGAACAAACATGCGAGCGGCGATTATGACGTAGCGGGCAGATATACTATATCTGCCCGCTCGGAGCGGGACGTATAGCTATATCTGCCCGCTGATGAAAATATAAGTTTTTACAAACCGGCTTTATGTACCTGCAACACGCCTTTATCCCATACTTGGACGTGTAATGTACATAAAGCAGGTTTGTAGAAACTTATATTTTCATCAGCGGGCAGATATAGCTTTACGTCCCGCTCTGAGCGGGCAGATATACTACGTCATAATCGCCGTTCGCATATTGGTTCATTTTTGTAACGTTCGCAAAGAAGCCGAAGGAGCTATACGCATCCCTGTGACCAATTGAACAATGTGACCAATGTGACCAATGTTGATATGGGATAAACAGATCATCCTGTAGTCGGTTCGGGATATTGAGATTATCCCGAGGCCAATATAATATATCTGCCCGATGGCCGTAGGTCTCTATATTTCCCGAGGGATAAACCCCATTTCCGAACCGACCGTACATAACTGCTAAATCCTAAAACAAGTGTGGAAATTTCACAAACTTAGAAACTACTTTTAAGACTAAGAAAATGCGTACCCTAAGTAAGTTTCTGAATTTTGGAACTTTATGAGGTATAATGTACCTAGAATCTGGGGAGGTATGGAACGTATCTGTTATGTACGGTCGCTTTGCGGTCCCTCGGGAGATACGCATATTTCCCTTGGGATAAACCCTGTGTTCAAAACCTACCAGTACATAACCCTTCTATGTTAACTGAACCCATAAAGAAAATATATTAGTCCCTCCATAAGGTCCGGGCCTCTTCGTAAATTAAAATAATTGGACTTTTAATCTAGGATAAAACTGCATCAGCTTTCGAAAATAATGTATCACCTTATTGTCGGGTTAATGGTGGCAGGTATAAGCAGGTGCCTTGTGTGTATGTTGAAACGGACACGTTGATGAAGTCGAATAACATACGTTGTAATAATCAAGATATCAATTTCGTCATAAAATTGATATGGAACATTATATTGAAATCAAATACACTTACAGAGTGCAAAAGATAGAAGTTATCCCTTCATACACTGTTTAGAGACTTTAGACGGCAATGCTTGAACACGCATCGGCGCTTTTCATTAATCCGTGTACGTAATCCTCGGGGTAATATACGGCCAACCTTTCGGGATGTTCAGTTAGATTATGAGCTGTTCGATTCTACTGAGAAATGAAGAATGACTTATCGTATATTGTAAATTTGCAAAACAAGATAAAAACATCTTAGAACAAAGGATAAGCGTATTAGGGGGAACATCGACAGCAGACCACTGCTCGAATGCCGCTGAAGATAGTGCCGGCTTTATTGCAACAGATGCAGGGATGCGCTAATAAACTGCATTCAGCTCCGTTCGTGAAGTTAATATACTAAAGACAGCACCCAGTCAAAGACGTCATTGTTAGAGTCGTCGGCATATGCATCACACGGACAAGCATTCGACCGACGAAACATCAGCAATAAATAAGACGAACATAATGAATATAGAGAATTAAGCGAAAATCAAAAAAACGTGAGAAACTATACTGACAATAAAGAAGTGATTTGTGGTAAACGGACGTGCAGCTGAGAAGAGCACTTGGATCACAAAAGGGAGATATGGATCCTGTCGAATCGCCAGACTATTTGGATCCTATCTCAGATCAAGATGAATATCCCGACTATAACCTTACGCAATCGTTTAACAAATCTATGATTTTCAATAAAGTCAACGACACGAAGACATTCGAAAAATATTATAATGAATATAACCTGACTGACGAGGAGTATATCGACGATATTTTACAGTTTATTTTTCCGACACCGCCCGAATGGTTCCTTATACTGTTGTATACTATCATATTCATAGTCGGAATAGTTGGAAACTTTCTCGTCTGTTTTGCAGTATGGCGAAATCATCATATGAGAACGGTCACAAATTATTTCATCGTGAATTTGGCGATAGGCGACTTTCTAGTAATTCTAGTATGCCTCCCGCCTACCGTTCTGACAGATGTCACAGAGACGTGGTATTTGGGAACGGTTATGTGCAAGATAATCAAATATATCCAGGTGAGAATAAAATTTTGTATAAAGAAGATTACAGGTAAGATATTTTTAGGAAAGACAAGTTCGTCTTAGACCCCCTTGCCAAAAAAGTACTTTTTTATATTCGAGGTTCTTTGGATATTGCATATTTCAATAAACGCATGCTTCATTTGAAAATATGCATGATTGTTAGATAATTGCTTCTGATCAGGTTCCTCTGTCGGGAAGTAACTTTTATTAAACTCAATTTGAGAATTCTGCAATTTTCCTTCGTTGGTACACATTATTAATATCGTTAATTCAGTTCGATGGACCTGTCAAATGCAAAATAAAAGCTTCCGGAGATAGCACGCTGGTGTATCGCCAGTAGAATCTCAAACCGTTCATTTTTAATTTGAGAAAGCCTGTGTGTCATCAAACGCTTCACAAAGCGGAACAAAACATTTAACAACTTCTTTTGTTCTGTTAACACCAGCTATATTCCGTAATTAATTTCCTAGACGGGAAAGAAATCCACCTTATCCCAGGGATCACTGTGTCGATGGAGTCTTACTTTAAATATCATAGGAATATAATCTAAATGCCATTGCCATGTGTTTAATATACTTGAATTTAAAGGTGTCTTATGTAATAATATCGTCCACATTCCTCGTTTAATTTGTCGCTATGTTATATTCAGTGTTATATAAGAACTTCGATCTGAAGTATTGCGATTTACGTATTGATACAAGGGCTCTTGATCAACTTTAATAATGGTTGCAATAATGATGTCATGTTACAATTGCTCTTGAAGGATAATCCTACCTCTGATAAAATATTGCTTGAATGGACATGGTCGAGTGTTTGTATAATCATAGACCAAGGTATAATGAGATACATTTAGTGGAATCACAGACCGTCATTTCAAATTCCATCCCAATATTTATTTAGCAAAAACTACAGTGATGACGAATAATTTAGTTTGGGTGGCCTGTGGTCTGATTTCCGTTCTGGACGAGTTTACCATCAGCAGACGTTAGTGCGAGAAAGGCCAATTTAGACGTTAAACTGAAAATAATTTCAATAATTAGCATTTCCTCTAACTCTTTGATTAATCATGATCCGTATCGGGTGTGATTATAAGTAGCAATTCAGCATTTGTGGTTGTTCTCCTTACAAAATTAGTCTACGATATTTGCGTCAACGCTTCATTATAAGTATAAAGTTGGAATATAATACCTAATATTTCATTAAAAAATGATATGATCGCATTATTATCGTTATTATTACAAGTACTGTGTCATGGAATTAATTCGTCATTAGTGTTGATCATGATACGTCACTTTTGCCAAGTCAAGTAAAATATGATTTCTGGATTTTAATAACTTTTCTTGCGGCAATTAAATAGGTTCTTTTCAACTCAATATGAAAGGGAATCTAAAGTCGATATTCGTTTTCATACGGCGACGGATTCCAGAGAATTCGAAGTCGAAGTATGAGGTTTTGTCCTTTAATATATACTGTACCAACTGAATAAGCAAGGACGTCTCCGTGATTTGTCCAAGGGGGTTGCGTCTAAATCTAAAAAAAATAAAAATAAAATAATCATAGCTTGTACTTGAAGCATACGGTTCTTTCCTCCGAGTCTTCTTCTCATCCCCATAAGCGAAATCCAAATGGATTGGCTCATCAATTCTGTCCATATATGATATTCAATGCTTTTCGTTTTGTATCAAAGCTGTACTCGAAGTTTAGTTGTATGGCTGGTTTGGTGTAATTTCACTGACACGCTCTCGAATTTTTCGATAGTACTTTTTTACAATTTTTTGTTGTGCCTACGTTCTATTTTTTACCTTGAGCCACAGATATATGACACTTTTGGCGTAAAATTAAGGTGATTTGGCCTAGAGTGGCAAAGTTATCATGACAGTCGGAAGTTGAGGCCAATATAAATGAAATTATTCATTAAATATTTATAGTTACCTTGTTTCCTAAGCTGTAGAAAATGCAAATTCATCATTATTGCTCTGTTTGATTTGACAATCATTTAGGACATTGAGTTCCCTTTAAAACATGCTTTATTTCATGAAAATCGAGCCTCTATTGACTATCTTATGAATTTTTAAAGGTAAAATATCGTTAACAGACAAATAGAACGCAAGTCGCGAGTTCTCTCAGAAAAATGTTTTTTCTTGAAAACTACTTAATGAATTCATGAACCTTTGAATTTTTTGCATGCTTTTGAATGTTTATGCAAACGGTGGTATCAGAATTATAACGAAACCCCTCTCCATGTGCTATGTGGCTACGATGCAAAATCATGAACCAAAACTATGTTCAGTGGTCAGTATCAAGCGAAGGTAACGGTCATTACCATTGCATTTAAGATGGCGGGCGGTCAGTGTCGACTTCGATATTTGAAATGAATCAGACTAATATGACATGGAAACGTGGGTGCAGCAGTGGAACAATATATTCCACCGTTTAAGGGAAGGCAACTGAAAACCTATGTTACGGAAACCAAAATTCCCCCTTGCGAATTGGTGTTATAAAAAAGTTTGTAGACTTGAGGGTTAGGCTTCTTGAGCCTTACCAGATTGATTAATTAGGAAGATTGTGAAACCTAGATTGACGGATGTCGGATATAGATGGGTATCTCTCCATGTTTTAGAAACAATAATTTGAATATAAGGAAATTGGGTCAATTCGTGTATGTAGTATCTTGATAATTTTATCAGTACGCATTCCTTGATGAGTACTGCGGATTAGCTCGGCATGACAGTCAAAATATAAGCATACTTCACAAAAATAAATCACTAGATTACCTACTTAACTGATGTCTGCATCCTCTACAACGGCACCATTCTACTGGTAAACCTCCACTGCGGCACTGAACACCGTTTACATGATTAGTTAAATAGTTTTGAGTAGTATAAATAGCGTTATGCTGACCCCTCGTGGATTTCAGATGGTGAAATAGGCAGATAGAGTTTGATTGCTATTCTCAACTGAAACTATTAAACTGGCCTTATCTAAACTGCATGTAGCGTGGATTTACTAGTATTCAACTCAACCCAATAGACCGAAAAACCGAGACTTGATGGCGATAAAGAACATTCGATCATATCCTACTTTTATCAATTCAGACTTCATTTAAAATCACCATTACTGAAGTCACGAACACTGTGAAAAAAGCCAAATATAGTTTGTACTATAGCAAACTATTTTTTAGAATAACCCCCATATAGTTTGAATTTCACCTAAAATATGGGCGAGAATAGTTTCTCCCATATTCCTAAAAACGGAACACTTTAATATAAGTCCTGATATACTCTCCGATACGCCCATATAAACTAAAATAAGTTGCATATATCATTGCAGAGTGTATATCTTTACTGAACTATTTTCCACTTATACGCCTCAAAGTCGGAATCAAACCTACTATATGCGTTGAAAAACAACTTATATTAAATAAAAACAGACTATATCAAACTATACTTGACTTATTCTTCTCTTATTCTACCTCAAAACAAACTATACTCGTCTTATACTCGATATTACGTAATAGCTTCAGTTCCCGAGTTTGTTGTTTTAACAGATTAAAAGCAAAGTCCAGCATTGAATGTATTTTGTTTTCAATGCTAATTAATTCGCTTGTTCAGATTAATCTGGTCATTTCTATAACTGAGGGTTCTAATTTCCATCAAAAAGTCATTTATAAATTAAGCTTTTTACTTTTACTAAATTGGACTATGACAGTCGAATTATAATTAACACTGTGCTAAATTTTGGATTCATTTCATTAAGTCTGTGGAAAGTTACATTTTTCAATTCACTTGGTATTGAAGTAAAACTAATATAGAATAAAATGTTTAATATAGTTGCAATAAGAGGGAATCGTATATTTTTTCCTGTATGGTAGCCAGTTATTTCCTGTATTATAGCGGAATAAGATATAATAACTATTTTTAAAAATTAATTTTTCTTTAATAATATTATTTGTGTATAATTTGAAGGGAACAACATATAATGCCTTATAATATAGAATAATATTCTAGTCAGGAGCAAATAATATGTTGGCATTTGCAATCAAAACCGAATTATATGCGTTTATTTTTGAGCCGTTAATCCCTAAGTATTCCATTCCTATGAAATGAGTTTCATTCACACTAATTAATCCGTTTGTTAGGATTAATTTCTACAACTGATGGTTCTTATTTCTCAAAAAATTATTTGCAAATTAAGTTTTTACATATTTATTTGATTGTATAATGTCCCTAGAGGTATGATTAAGATTGTGTTAAATTTGGGATTCAATCGATAAATCCATTGGAAAGTTAATTTTTTTATTCTTAATTAATGAGTTTTCTTCACATTTTTACTCTATTGTTTCTTTGTCACATCAGGTTTACAACAAACAACATTTAAATCCCCCTCTTACACAGCTACAAACAACCACCTGTACTATTCACTTTGCCAACCAAAAACAGTCATGACACGGAACTGCTCAATATTCAATTAATATATTACGCATTTTATACAAGCCCGTACCTAAGGACCCTCTTCCCCTGGCCAACAATTCTTTGAAGAAATGCAGTTTTTCACCATTCACATACATGTATTGACATGTCAGAGCAATGTAATTAGTAAAACTTTAATCCCTAAGTATTCAATTTCTATGAATTGAGTTTTGTTCACCCTGATAAATAATCTGTTTGTTAGAGTTAATGGATTAATTTCTACAGCCTATGGCTCTAATTTCCACAAAAATACAAATTAGGTTTTTCATATTTATTTGATTGTATAGTGTACCTCGTGCTATGATTAACATTGTGTTAAAATTTGGATTCAATCGATTAACTCATTGGGAAGAAATTTCTTGATTTTTAGTTATGGGGCTTCCTCACAATTTAACTCCATTGTTTCTCTCTAACATTAAGTTTAATACAACAAACAACATTTAAAACCCTCTCTTACACAGACACAAACAAACACCCCTATTCACTTCGCAAACCACACAAAACGTTTATAACACAATATTGCAA